ATCTGCTAGAGCGCTTTATAGAATCTGAGCACTTCAACCAAGATCCGAGCCTCGCAGTAGCATACCTTGCGTGAGTGGCCACCTCTCCTCCGAACGCAGCGGCCCTCTGCCACCGATTGCCTCCCCTCTCACTTGCTGTTTACTGACGCATGCATGCGAATGCACACAGCCGGTATGCAGACCACGTCGGAATCCACTATGTGCTCTGTTCCAAGCTGCGCCAGTTCGCCTACGAGGAGCTCGAGTTCTTCCTGCCGCAGTACGTCGCCTGCGCCACACCACAACCCGCCGACGGCATGAACAGCTAGCTTACATACGCGGGGCACCACAGGCTATGTCACCTCCTCATCAGCATCGACAACGAGTCCATGGCCCTCGAGGAGTTCATAATCGACTTGTGCGAGGAGTCGGTCAACGGCGCGCTTCTGGTGGGGCTTCCGGATACCGTGTCTTGTTAGTCTGGTGCTTCTTGTGCTAATTCATGCCTTGCAGACCTTTTGGCTCTTCCAGACATATCTCCACGACCTTGCAAGCGCTCCGAATTCGGTCGCTTTCAAAACCTGCAGGAGAATTTACAATCGCGTGCAGCGCATCGTCTTTGGCTCCGCCGAGCCCTCGCGGAGAGAGAAGATCAAGGAGAATGTATTGCCCGTCAGCGTTCTATCGAGCCTGGTTCTTGCGAGCATAGCGGCACCATTCCTACCAGCTCATGCCGGGCCACTGGCTATTGCGCAGGCGCGAAAGCCAAGACCCGTCGAGGACATCATCTCCGATAATGTGCAGACGGCCAAGGTGGGGAGGAGCAAGACGGTCACAGGAGGATCGCCCAGGGCCAAGCAAAAGAGGGCAACCCAGCAACATCAACTTTCAGATCCCGAGGACGGACGGACAGGCCGGTCGCCGTCGCAGCGCCCCCGCGACCCCAAGGACTTGAGAAAACAGGCCATTCGAGCGCCCCCTGCCCAGCGCGCACCATCAGCCTCACAACGACCGTCGCTGTTGTCTGTAACACCCGAAGCCCGCCTTAGCTCGTCCTCTCTACCAGAATTTCGAGATGCAGGCTCCTCCTCTCCTCTCCCTACGCCCCCGGCAACCGCTGGCCTAGGGCCGAGTCCGCTCCATCTTGGTCCTCGCAAACATTCGGCACATCCACCAAGGCCTCTCTCGCCCACAGCACTGACCCGCGCACAGAAAGTCCGGCTACTAAGATCTAATTATTTCCGGAATGAAACCCAATTCCTGAGCGCTCTTGAGGATATCTCAAACCGCTTAGTCGTCGTGCCTAAGCCTGCGCGATTGAGTGCTCTCAGAGCAGAGTTGGCGTTGATAGCCCAAGACTTACCCGCTGAAGTTGATATACCGCTATTATCACCCCCGACCCTGAAAGATGGAATTCCTTCGCAGAGCCAGCACCATCGAATAGTGCGAATAAACCCAGCCGAAGCTACCAGTCTCAACAGTGCGGAGCGAGTACCATATCTGCTCATGGTGGAGGTGCTGGAAGAAGACTTTGATTTTGATCCAGACACGGAACAAAACCAGAAACTCCTCGAAAAGCTTATGCTGGAAAAAGGCACTTCAAGACGGCGGCTCTTTGATATCACCAATGCCGACTATTTTGCATCATACGACCGCACTCCACCAAATGGATCAGACAGTGTATTCGAGCCTGTTACGGGTGACCTCGGTAGTACTTCACTAATCAAGGACACGGATGAGACAGATATCGCCTCAGGACTAGCACGAGTGACCATGCCTGTTGCAGCGGCCAGTAGCAAAGCGACAGCTCCAAGGTCCTCGAGTGGAGCCAATACCCTATCATCCGTGGCCACCATGTCCACACCACGGACGTCCGATTCGCAGATCAGTAGGTCAGTCAGTCCTATCCCCAGCAGAAGAATGACAATTCCTGCAAACATGAACCGAGCAAGCCAGGCTGTCGACCAGCCCGACTTTTCTGCTCTTGCAACCCACATGCGCACTGCTGCTCAGATGCTAGCACAACTGGAAGCAAGTGGTGCGAAGAGGCCAAAAGGTGAAGTAGCAGCAATCAAAGCCAAGATTATTGCAAGCATGCAAAGCCTGGAAGAACAAAACTTCCTCAACGAAGACCAGAGCCCTACGTTTGACTCTATCATGGCAGAGGCAGATCCAGTGGCAATCGCGGGAGAACCGGAAGAAATTGATGAAGCCTTGGTGGTCACGCCCAACTCGGGTGCAGGCGCTGCTCGTATGGAAAACGATCTTAAGACTGGTGGTATGCGACGAAAAGGCGATAGAGACGATCCCAGCGCTGCAACTTTTGGAGAAGAATGGAGCGCAAAGCGAGAGCGTATACGGCGATCCTCGCCATACGGTCATATGAAGAACTGGGACTTGATCAGCGTCATCGTCAAAACTGGCGCGGATCTACGGCAGGAGGCATTTGCTTGTCAACTCATTGAGGTTTGCGCCAAGATCTGGGAAGAAGCAGAGGTGCCGGTCTGGACAAAACGTATGCGCATCCTCGTTACCGGCGAGTCCTGTGGTCTCATAGAAACGATTACGAACGGCGTCTCGCTACACTCCCTCAAGCGAAGCTTGACACTTGCTAGTACAGCAGCAGGCACCAATCCCCGAAAACGCATCGCAACTCTCAAGGACCATTGGCTTAAGACATTTGGAGAACCCGACTCCGAAGCCTATATTGCAGGCGTAGCAGCCTTTGGTCGCTCCCTAGCGGCATACAGCATCATATGTTACGTACTACAGCTCAAGGATCGTCATAACGGCAACCTCCTCATTGACAATATGGGCCACATCATTCATATTGACTTTGGTTTTATGCTTTCCAACTCACCCGGCTCTATGGGCTTCGAAGCTGCGCCTTTCAAATTGACACAAGACTATGTCGACGTCCTGGGTGGTATCGGATCGCCTGCATTTGAAGAGTTCAAGACACTATGCAAGAAAGCGTTTCAAGCGCTTAGGAAAGACGCTGAAAGGCTAATCATGCTGGTTGACCTGATGAGCAAGCAGAGTAGTATGCCATGTTTTGCTGCCGGCGCGGCTAGTGTAACAAATAGTTTGCGGGCAAGGCTTATGCTGCATCTGAGTAGAGAAGAGGCAGAAAGCTTTGTCGAGGAGCTTGTTGCAAAGAGTGTGGGAAGTTACTATACCCGGCTGTAAGTATATGACACGTACTATTTTCTGCATAAGGAGCACTGCTAACATGAATCGCAGTTATGATACGTTTCAGTACCGCACGCAAGGCATATACTGAGTTATACTCCCGCGGCATTTACTTGAGCGAGCTTGTGCGCTATTTGGAGACATCTGCGAGGGCATTCGAGCACAAGCATTGCAATTTCTCGTTCTTCTTCCATCATCTCCTTAATCCTGTCTATAACTGGTTCGCACACCATGGAGAGAGAGAGAGAGAGAGGCACGCTGAGCTTTCCCTCTTTTGGATAGAGGAAGCAGAGACGGAGGCTTTATCATGTGCTCAAGAATACATCTTTTTTCTTCTTCTCGGACGAAGAGTCGATGTGTATATTTGGTAGTCTTTCAATGAGATGACATTTACAATAACAACAGCAGTATTAGTATCAACTCTGCCACATGGCCGTAAAACCTAAACTAAGGAAACAACATCGAAAAGACTAATTAGCTTCCATCACCTCCTCTCTTTCCTCCCCAAACCCTTCCTTCTCTCTCATCCCCCTCCCTACCCGCGCCACTTTATGACTCCCCACCACACCGCCTATCTTCTCCACCACCTTACCCAGCATAGAATCCCGCTCCGGTCCCCCCATTTCTCCCGTCTTGTTACCGTACCCTGCTCCGCCTGTTGACCCGCTGCCCAGCGGCGCGGGGTTCGAGTACGGAGTGGGAGATAGGTGCGAGCCGAGGTGCATGTCTGAGGTGCTGGGCGTGGAGGATGCGGAGGAGCGTTTGTTGCCTTTTTTGTGTCAGTAATAGCTCATTGACAAGGCAAAGGAGCTATGAACGCAAGAGTGTGTGCGTGGAAGGGGATGAAGGAGGAAGGAGGACATACCGAATCCCGCACCGCCTGTCGTACCCGACCCATGTTTGTCGTGCGGATTGTGATAGGGAGTGTGTGAGTCTATAAGGCCGAGGCGCGTGTTGTTGTGCTCTGGCTCGAGGTCTGAGGCGCTGTAGGAGGGTGCGGTGCGGTTGCCGTAGCCTGCCATTTGGGAGATAATTATGATTGAAGAGTAGGAACGTAAGAGGAACACTTTGGGGGAGTACGATTATGGGATTTGAGTGGGAAGTTACATATTGTGTTTAGATTGTTTAGGAGCTGTTTAGTAGGATATATACATGTAGATGCTGGATAGGTCTCTTGTCCAGACGTGTGCTGATCTCGTTACGCACATGTTCGAGAGATGTGTTCAAGCCTTATGAGGTCATTCTGCTGGGAGATGCGTAGATCAGAGAATGCAGAAGCATTGTAAGAGGCCGATAAGTGTGAGCTAAGGCGTGCTTAGTAGTCTTGTAGGACGCTAGTGTCGTGATTGTGTAGATCGGACGAAGGTGGCTGACAGAATGCATAGAATGAATCGAATAACTCTCATCGGCTTCATAGTGTTTTTTGCGTTAAAGCACTTATATTCATTCGTTGATAATACCATTCCCGGCATATCCATCTCGATACGGAAACCCTCTTTGTGACAGCATAGTCTGCCCTGAACAGCATGAAGAAAGTCTCTGGGACCAGATATACGCATGATTGGATCGGTGCGCAGGAACGATGGGCAGAGGCGATAGATAAAGCCAACATCTGTGAGTGGTAGTCGCAACTGCTGATCGAGATAACGATAAGGCCTCTGCAAGATTCCGTTCCATCACTGGCTCCCTAATTCCCGCCAAGATCTGGGGTATCCCACGCTCTTCACGCAGTCCGCCTGAATGATTCTAGACCCAGTACGCCAAGACCCATGAACGCCAGCAATGCACGCGAACTACGATCGACAACAAACTCGAAAAGCGCAATGACCTCATCGCACGTATTTGGACTGTCGCATTCTGTCAGCAGTGTTGGGTATATCGTGAGCTACAGTTGCTTACCATGAACTTCTTGTGAAAGTCGGACCGCAGCATGTCGTTGATGAATTCCTTCTTTTTGTTCCTGTCCTCTGTACCACGTGCTTGGTTCTTGAATACGACATCGTCGTCCCATCGGCGCTTCATGGTAAAGTCTTTGGCGTTGAGCAGCGGGTTGCCCCGAGCAACATCGATTTCACGTTGTTGTTCCTCTTCGGCAGCTCGTTCGGCCTCCTCCTTGGCTTTAGCTGCAGCACGCTCCTTTCTGATCTTCTCGAGCTCCCTCTGAAGGGCTCCTTCGCCGTCTTCATCGCTGTCATAGTGTTAGTTGAGCACTAAGTATTTAGGTGCAATATGAACCTACTCATCGTCGCTACTCTCTTCCTCACTACTGCTATCGTCCGCATCCACATCCCTGAACTTTTCAAGTAATTCTATTCGCCGCCGTTTCTGTGCTGCTTCGTCTTCTTCGCCGTCTTTGTCAACTGACACGTTGTCAATCTGGCGCTTAGGCGCACTTCCAGGCTCGGCCGCGGCGTCCGGCTCTACGTATGTGCCGTTCCTCTTCGCCGCATAGCGTGCCTCTGCCTCCAAGAGTTCGGCGCGCAGGTCGCGCTTTTGTTTATCGACATCTCCGCCCTGGCCTGGTTGTCTATGCTTGAGTGTTGTATGCGCAGGGAGGAGTCGCTGATGATAGGCAGGTCCACGCTGGGCCTCTTTACCGCGTGCGGGATCGAAGGTGGGCCTATGGGCGGTCGTCATTGTAGAATCGTGTGATTTGACGGCGTTTGTTTAGTAGTGTGTAGGTTTCGGAAGTCTTGCGAATGGTGGTCAGTGATTGTAGTTGATGTACAAAAGATGGCGCATACAGACTCGCGATGATCAAGTCGCGCTAAGAAGCATCGGCGTTCACTTTTCCCCGCGCCGTATTTTCTATGGTTGTCCAACAACCACTTCAACTCCAATCAACGCCTTATACATTAAAGAGAGGCAGTATGCCTCGAGAAGCTGAGATATCGCTCAATGAGCGCGAATTTATCAAACAAGCGCTGCAAGAGCAGATTCGCATCGACCGGCGCGCTTTTGACGCCTTTCGCCCGCTTGAGCTCACTTTTGGCGATGAATATGGCGTCGCGGATGTGCAACTGGGCAAGACCAGGTACATGAGTACAATCTAATTTTGTATGCGCAAGCTAATAAAGCTCAGGGTCATTGCTCGCATATCAGTAGACGTAACAACACCACCCCCAGAGCGCAAGTTCGACGGCATCTTCCAAATAGTCACAGAGTTCTCTCCAATGGCGTCACCGGCATTCGAAGTTGGCCGGTATGTCTCATTTCACAACGGCCTGTTCTGCGGCGATTCTAACCTTGTCCTAGACCCACAGATGCTGAAGTCATCCTCTCGCGCATACTCGAAAAAGCCATTCGTCGCTCCAACGCTCTCGATACCGAATCCCTTTGCATCATTGCCGGCTTGAAATGCTTTGCTCTCCGCGCAGACGTACACATAGTTGATCATGACGGTGGCCTCATCGATGCGTCTTGTATTGCCGTCATGGCAGCACTACAGCACTTTAGGAGACCCGATGTTGTAGTCGAAGGCGAGAAAGCAACCATTCTCAGCGTACGCGAACGCGAACCGATACCTCTGTCTATTCTTCACCAGCCACTCTGTGTAACATTCTCGTGTTTCGAAGGGGAGATATTTCTGGTGGATGCAAACCTGGCTGAAGAGCAAGTTCGACAAGGGGAAGTGATTATTACCATGAACAAGCACGGAGAGGTTTGTCAGATCGCCAAATATGGAGGGGCCACTATTCACCCTCTGGCCCTACTCAATTGCACAAACATCGCGCAACAAAAGGTCAAGGACATAGGCGCGTTCATCCAGAAAAGGCTTGAAGAAGATGCGAAGGAAAGGGACGCAGGAGGGCTGATGGCTGAGCTGAGCGCTGAAAACGCCAGGTGAAGATCTACAAAACAGTTGCATGATACAACAACCTGAGAGTCTGGCCCAATCGTTTAGCCTGCGATGCTTTCCAATACTGAGGTCGCGCGACCGCGAAACTTCGTCCGCCGAGCCATGTGCTCGATCAGGAACATTCCCACGAGAAGACGGGTTGTGGGTCCATCGATGTTGTGGATCGACGGTCCGCCGTATCCCTACACAAAACTACGGGATAACCGAAACCCAGATGGCGAATCGCAAACGTTGGTCATAGGGTTAAGGTGCATGGAGCAACTCGGAGCTCCGAAGAGAGGAATAGTTAATAAATAAGCACAGACATGTGAAAAGAAAAATAGATGTCATCCTCGGCACACAACTGATGTGAACGCGACTTCTAGAACTTGTGGTTTGGTGATGGCGCTGACAAAGCCCGTCGCTTTGGAATCGGACGAGTCACGACACCTCGGTCCATGCGAGAAACAAGTACTCGCATGTTATCTCCCCACAATGAATTCCAAATCAATGTTAGATGTGACAGGCTTCACAATGCATCGGCCGAGGTGTCACTTGAATATGCATATAATTCTCAACCTGGCTCTTGACAGTTCGTGTTCCGCAAGTTCTCGAATTATAATCTTGAGTATTACGTCATAGCGCAGGATCCCTGCATTACGTCTCCCCAAACATCCTGCGCCTCTTACTTTAACAGACCTTTCGACTGTCTTCTAAACTCATTTTCTTTCATTTACACATTCACAAGTTCTCTCGACCCAGCATGACTTCAAAACTAGTACCTTCCGATCCCGCCAGTGTTATGGTGATTCGAGATGTGGTCCCGCACATAGTGACTACGCTCTCTGTACCGTTTTGGAGATTCGGTCGCGTCAAGATCGGCGGAAGAGGAACCATCGGTATATTTTGTTTTTCCGAGGTATCATGAGCCAATAACTAACAATAGTAACAGTGCGCCTTGAATCCGGTGCTCTTGCCGTCTTCTCACCCGTCGCGTTGACCGAAGATGTCAAGCGCAAAGTGTCTGAGATGGGCGAAGTCAAATACATCGCAGCCCTAGACAACGAGGTACGTCTCTTCTCCATTGTCGTAAGAATTTTGCTTTAAAAATACCTTACTAAACATCCACAGCACCACATTTTCCTCGGTCCCTGGCACACGGAATACCCCAATGCGCAAGTCATGGGTCCAGAGATGCTGCCAGAAAAGCGCGCAAAGCAAAACAACGAGAACGTCCCTTTCAGTGTCCTCTTCAGTGCCTCGAAGCCCGTGACTTCTATCTCACCCGAATTCGACGCAGAGTTCGACTGGGAGTATGTCCCCTCGCACGTCAACAAAGAACTAGTCTTCCACCACCGCCCCACGCGCAGTCTCATCCTCGCAGACCTCATGTTCAATCTGCCAGCGACGGAGCAATTCAGCAAGTCTGGTGTCGACCCAAACACAGGAATTCTAAGCAAGATCTTCAATACCCTGCAGAGCACAAAAGGTGATGCGAAGTGGCAGCAGCGCACCATCTGGTATGGAACTAGTGCAAAGGATCGAAGCGGTTTCTCGAAGAGCATGGAGAAGATTGACAAGTGGGGGTTCGAAAGGATCATTCCGTGCCATGGAGATGTGATTGAGGGCGAGGGCAAAGGTATCTTTGAGAAGGTTATGAGGTGGCATTTGGATGCTGCGAAGGGGCAGGCCAAGACTTCTTGAGCTATATGGCGCTGAAGGGAGAAAAAGGCGTTTAAAGATATGGAGGCGAAGCCTGAGGGAGGCAGTAGGTGGAAGGGTTTAGGTGATACCCCAGTTGTTTGGAGACGGCAGTGTTTTTCTTCTGTTTCTCAATTCTAATCATCCCTGTCTCGTTCATGAGTAATTGACAGCAAAGGATAATGTAAACTGTATTATTATTATTATTATTCTCTTCATAGCCTCTTCGACCCTCCACCCATCTCAATATCCTCTTCAAAATTCTTTTTCCGCATATCTCGCCCATCATACCCCCTAGTTACCCTATCGCTCCCCCAATCCCAAATAGCCATCACACCAGCCAGCGTGTAGGGATTACTCTTGAATCTTTCTCGTGATGCCGGAACCACGACTGGCGAAGGAACCGAAATATCCACATCCTCCCAATCCTGCATATCCCCTAGGTCCTTCGATGCAACAAGTCCGCTACATCTCGAGACTTCAAACGGTAAAACTGGACCCTCCATGACACCAAACTCATCTCCCTCCCCCTTCCCCTCAAACTGCCTATCAATCTCCTCCCCATCAAAACTCCTACACATCCATATCTCCCTTACGTACCACAGCACCCCCGCCCCCACCCCCAGCGTACCGCAGAGCGGTGCACAAACAAGCAAAAAGCCCGATACATACAGTAAAAGCTCACTCCGCCACTCTCTTTCATGCTCGATCTTGTATTCCGTTCTCTGAGCATGCGCAGTGAACCAAGAAGAGAAATGCATGAGAGACTTCTCAACTAGTGCTACGGTAAGAGTGGCTTGGGTGAGGAGGAGGGTGGTGCATGTGATGCCCAAGCGGTATTTTATGGTCGGTTGCAGGATGGAGAGGGTGTGTAGAGTGCTACGGTGGGTTTGGTAGTGGGAGAGTGCGCGAGTGTAGAGGAGGAAGGGGTAGAGGAGGGCGAGGGATAGACGCCATACTAGAAGGACGGGCAGGGTGGAGATGTAGAGGAAGAGGCCGGTAAATAGGTAGAGGAGTTTCAGGAGGATGGTGATGAGTGCATGATGAGTCATAGTAGAAACAACTTGGAGAGTTGAAGGCTTCGACATATGACGCTGGAGTAATACTTGAACGATTATCTTTTAATTCTGGAGTGGTGATGCGACGTACTGCTTGTGAAGAGGCGTTAAAAGTGAGCAGAGTGACAAATTGATTATCACATCAACGAGTCTTGTTACCAATTCTTTCAATATGTGACTCTATACTCGGGCGGTATATATTCTAGACCCAACCCTTTGAACACTGCCTTTTCTGCATCTTCGGGCGTCCCTTCAACACCGTCTGGCCCTTCAATCATGATAGCTTCACCATTAGCTCGACTGCGAATGCCGCTGCTGTCGAATTTCCAACCCTTCACATGTTTTGCATACCGTCGCAAATCCCGCTGAAATGTCGTGCCACCGCTCCAGCCCATGACCGCACAGCCTACAGTCCGCCAAGGTGCAACAATGATGTCGACTCGACGATGGATGGCTGGATTCTTCGCTCGTGGATTTCGCTCGAGGTCCCCTTCACGAGTTGGCCAAGCAGGATTCTGCCATACTACGAGTGCCTTATCAAGAGTGTCAAACCCTACTCCAGCTCCTTTTGCAGAACGAAAAGGTAAAGTGTGTTGTCCGCGCTTCGTATTTGCCAAGCTCATCGTCAAGGTGTGCGTGATCCACTGAGCATCTTCCAGTGACTCGACAATCTCCTGCACCAATCCCGCTGTACTTTCCAATTCAGGGTGCGATACGATTATATCCACATCTCCAGAGACTGATTTGCCACGTCTATAGCCACCGACTATGGTCACACTGATGCGTTCGTCCCGGAGTTTTGCTGCATGGTCTCGAACAACAGCGACTATGTGTTCGACTTCAGCACGTTGAATCGGTTCTTGAAACTCTTCGTAGTACTTGGCGCCAATCTGCTGCACTCGGTCAAGGTCATTCCAGCCATGTTCAATGATATCGTCCAATTCCGTCCAGTGGTTGTCGTAGTAAAAATGTCGCGCCGTCTTTGCTCCAACACCCCATATATCATAGAATGTACGCAGGACCTTCATTGCCTCATCGTTCTCGTAGTCCTCAACTTCCTTGATTTTACCAGTATTCTTCCATTCAACGAAAAGAACCGCAGTCTTTTCGTCGCATCCTGGTAATTGCGCAATCTCACGTGGGTGACTGAGCTTGTACGGATAGGCTGCAATGGCAGCAATAATGGTCGAGTACGCACGTACACCTATCTCATCTTCGATAAGGACCCGATTAGTCCTAATCTTCTTGAGTTGGTCTAGGAAATCCTCATTCGGCCCGTTAGCGGGTGTAAAGCGCTGGCATGCATACTTGACGCCCTGCTTCACCCACTCGGGCGGTGGCGGTATATCACTATCTTCGCCTTCATACTCGCTCGTCGTTTGCTGAAGCAGAAGCGCCGTCTGTGATGCATAAGAGTGGGACGAAGGCTGCGAAGGCGCTAAATCCTTGTTACCGAAGCGCCGAGACACTTGATTACCAGATTGGGAAGACTTGTATGTAGTCTTGCTTGTCACTGTTTGTGCATCCAACTTTGCTCGATCCAGGACGTTTTGTGACAGATTTGGCCCCGTGGGTTTGAGTGTCTGAGATGCAGGTGGCTCTTTTGGCATTACTGAAAAGACATCCTTGATGGATTTGGTGCTGCTTGGTTTTGGTCGTTGCTGCACTTTTCCTTGATACATCAAGTTGTCGCCTAGAGGAACGAGGTGCCCTGCGGTTCTACAAGACTCTATCCAGTTCAAGTTGACAACCCAAACAATGTCAATGCTTGAACCGTTGTCGAAGATCGTTGGAAAGGGCACTTCATCCTCAGCATGCAATGGCGGAGACTGTGAAAAACTCGAATTCTGGATCGGCACTTCGTCTTCAGTGTCGGACGTCTCTTCGGCTCCTTTCTTCGCAGCATAATCCTCTTGACTAGCCCAGATAGGTCTATACGACGACTCGAAGACTCTTTGTTTCTTGTTAGGTGTCCCTATTTTTGCAGGACTAGCACGGCGTTTCGGCGTTACAAATTCTTCAGCGATTAGGTTCCTCGAACGCAACTCAAACGCAGCTCTTCCCTTAGTGCCCACCTTACCTAGGAGTATTTTTGCCCTCGACATGTCGGTAGTAAGCGACGCATTGTATAAGTGCAGAGTTTCTCTGAGCGAATTTTCTTCATCCTGGTTCAAGCGTGTTTTCAGTATAGCTATCGGCGGAAGTTTACTAAAGTCAAGGCCTGCTATAGGTGTTCCTGATGTCTGAGATAACGACTCTGCGCACGCAGTCTGAGCCTGGCGGTCCATACCGGAAAATATTGCGTCGGTGAGAAAGGTTCCAATCAGGGTAGTCAAGATGTATCTAGAAAGCGCATCCTGTATCTTCTCCAAGTAGAATGCCTGAATGCCCGAGTAGTCATTGCTCTAAGGCGCCAGTCTCCATACGACGAAATCAGAAGCTCAACTGTATCGATCACGAAAACTCTAGTGAATGGCGTTTCCAACGTCACACGGGCCTGGATGACGTTGGTGTGAGGTAGGGAGGTTTGGGGCTGACAGGAGGCCCTTGGCGGGTTTGCATTGTTTCGACATACGATGCTGGGCACTGCGGGCACTGGTGTCTGTGCGCCCCAAATCTGTTTGCCGCTAGTCTTCCCGCGTTGACGCGCAATCAGCTACGACGTCTTGTTTCACCCCTGCGTCTTTCGAGACTGAATCCACAATCCTCCAAGCCTATCCCTCGGTCTAATACGTATACATCAACCTCATTGTCCGCAGATAGCTAAGCTGCTGTGACGATGTTTGTTCAATTCTTCCAGTCCATATATTGCTGAAGTTGTCAGCATCGTCATGAGTATGGTACCGTGTAGATGCCTGCAATCTATCAGTTCGAGCCGTCTCAACTTCAGCCATTAGGGTTCTTGCTGCTAAATGAGAGAAGGCATCTTCGCATGATGACGGCGGCGGTTAGCATCATGCCACGGCTCGACCGGTTGAATCGCGCCACCTCCAGTGGAGGGCCCCAGGGCAAACACTGCAAGGGCACCGAACGCGGGCGCGAATCGCCTCGTTTGTTTCTTCCACGCCACCGATCTTTGCCGTCTAGTGCGCGGACCTCTGTTTCGGAATAATAACGGCACCACGTCAATTCCGGAAGGCCTTATAGCTGCGCCCTTTGGTGCGTATATAGTATGTAAGCCCGTAGGATTAAGGTTTGGGCATTCTGATACACCCTAAGTGTACCGCTCTTCACTAGCTACCCCGGCCTGTCCGTGGATCCATATATACAGGTGGGTATCTCCTCAGGCTCCATCTGTTCATTCTTCAACCCTTGCCTTTCTTTTTGTGGTTGGACTACATATTTGTTCTATCCTTCTTCTACATTCTTTTCGCTACTTTCGATAAGAGCGCTGGTATCTTTGTGTGTATTCATACTACACCCACTTCGCTTTGACAGCCACCAAAAGTCGATTGAATTCGTACCATCAACGCCAGCACACCCTTCCCTCCTTCAACATGCGCTCTTACATCTTCATGGTCCTCGCGGCCCTCTTCGCACTTGCTTGTGCAGTACCAATCACACCATCAGCACCTCGACTTCAAAAACGGGCTGAGCAATACCGACTACAGGGGTTGGCAGAGGTATGTCTTCGTGCTTATCCAATCTGAACAGGCCTGTGGACTAACTTGAATAGTTCCAAATTGCTGAACGCCTTTCATCTTCGGCGTCGTCATTTGGCGTTGACCCTTGGCGGGCCCGCCTCAACAAGAAGTTGCACGCACTTCTAGACTCTCCATCAACAGATGAAGAGGAAAAGATCACAATCGAGGAGGACGCGGAAGATTTCTCTGGCGATATTGCACCTGGTACTCTGGAAGCGCCCTCAGCTCTTCCCAAGGCTTTGAAGGAAGCCAGTATGTATGACAGGCTATGTGCGATGTTCCACCGCGCAGAAAGCAGTTTTGGGTATGAGGGCAAGGAGTTGGAGCTGCGCCGACCTGAAGGAGTCCAAAACTGGAAGCAGTCTTTTGGAAGTTTCCGCCGTCGTCATTAGAATCAATTACTTGGTCATTTCTTCTCTATCATTTGATCCGACTTGCAGTGATGACAATACTTGAAATACTTATTTTTTTCAAAAGAGAAAAGTAAATGGCGATTGATACTCTGATATGCCGATCAGATCCGTGTCTATTGCTACGCCCGCTCATCAGTTTACCCACCCTATAACTATCAAGATGATGCCGTTTAACGCCAAGTCATGTCCCAAAGAAAGATGGTCAACAATCAAACACCCATAGTAAAGTCATGCTCTATGCCTGGTGTGACACTGTTGTATGTTAGCATGGCCCTTTTTTCATGGGATAGATCAACTTACCTAGCCATGAACTTGAGGAAGACAACCAGATACTGATCCACGCGGATAGCCACCTCTTCGTCGTCGCCCTCGCTCAGCACCTCCCAGTCGTCCTTGGCTTCCTCGCCATCCTTGCCCTTGGCTTGCTCGGTTAGCTTCAGTAACCGCGTGTCATCAACCAAGGCTTCCATGCCGCTATCGAGCTTGCTAACGTCTTTGCCAGCCTTGAGCTTGGCGAGTCGCAGCTTCAAGGCAGCATCGGCGCGGTCGAGAAGCACCTTCATGACGGATGCGTGTTTGCAGGGATGTACTGAGGCCGTCTTGAGAGGGTTCTCAAAGAAAGGAAAGTCCTCGATTGTGACAGTCTTGTCCTTGTAGTCTCCGACAATATCCTCCATCATCTCTTGGGGTTTTAGTGGAACAGAGGTGGAGCCATAGCCGGAGAGATATAACCGCGGTGTCCGGTAGTGTGCCGAGTATGTGATGTAGAGCGTGTATGTGCGCAGAGGACTGTAAAGAGTGTCAGTATGTCTCGATATCTTCAAGCATAGGGCATGTAAGCTTACGCTTGCGTGTTTGACTCGGCTTGTGAGTCCCTTATGATGGCCTCGTCATCGTCCTCAATGTCCTCCATGTCGGGGATCTCGTCGTCGTCCTCTGCCGCGCCCAGGTTGCCGCTCTCGTCGACTGTCCGCACATCGCGGACCTTGGCCTCCTGGCTAGCTGCCATACCGCCAGTGCGCAGCCAGCCGTCGTCATCGGTTGCGCCTTCCCCGGCGGTAAAGCCGTCTCTGACTATGGTTTCATCTTGGCCGGCTTCTCCAGCAAAGTTGTCGTCGAGACGGCGGTGGCAGGGTACGCCGCGCGTTACCAAGAACTGCTTGCCCTCAGGCAGGTATGAGACGCGTTTCGAGGGCGACGACGCATCCGCCCACTGCCACGAAGGGAACTTGAAGACGAGAAAGTCACCAGCAAGCACGAACTCCTCGGGCGTGATCTGGCCTGTCTCACGGAACGTCGAGGTGTGGCTGATGGCGGCGGTGCGCTCGCGGAAAGTGTCGATGTACGACCTGACAAAGTTGTAGGCCATGGCGATGTCGAGGCGAGGCGAGGCGAGGCGATGCGGGTGGTACAAGGCTCTGGTATTTGAGGTGCAGTTGTCTGACGCAGTGTGTGTGTGTAGTAGGGTTGTCTGTAGTACCCCCAGCGTGCCTTGGAGGGGTGGCGGGGTTAATGGTCGATGGTGCCTGTTGTGGGCCCTGACACCAGCCCGTCACCCCTCCCACTCACCTGCTTCCCTTCCTCCACCCCCACTCGTCACAAGACAAGATCCAGCCCCGTCACGTACCATCCCCAGTCACGCTTTTCTTTTGCATGATGGTGACGCAACTCTGCTTCGGCCCTGCCAAGCGTCCATGTCCGCTTTCTTATCTCACTGCAAGCTTTCTTGACTAAACATTCCGTCCGGTTACACCTCCAGCAACGCTCGCATGAGCAGGCACATTTACCCTGTTTGTGACTGCAGACATTCATGCAACCTCGCTTGAGTCGGAGTGGCATGCGTCGCACAGCGAGCCCTATCGTCGCACCCGGTTTGTGGTTGCGCACTTATACACCGTTTGGAAATAGCCGCGTCCCTATCAAAGTCACGCCTAATCTGGACCTAGTGGCCATTTTGTAGTCTTTCATATCCTTCGGCTTCACTTTCAGAACGTCAGTGGCACCGCATGTTTCAGTTTTGACAAGCTTCACGTTCAGCCCGTCTCCAATTTACTAAACAACGCTTTTACTTGGCTGTCCTAAAGCAGCTGACTTGGATAAACGTGTTGGCTTTACAGAGTACATGTAAACTCTTTCCATGAAATAACTTCATTTGGAAAAGGATCGCCTTGCAAAGATTCACAAAGCAAATACATCATTACCAGCAGGCTACTCATCTTCTGCGAAATCATTTCCTATTTCAGTACTATTTGCATCTGTCGCACAGAGGATCTTCGCTTGTATCATTGGTGTTCAAGATATTCCAGAGGCGGCACGACTTCGCGACAAGTCTTGACAGTCACCTATTGTCGTCATGTCGTTTTCCAACTAGGTATATGCAGTGACCTGAGCACGAAGACGAGGGAGTAGAATGACAACATTTTGTACAGATATTAACAAATACAGTTTTAACGGCGTTATTTACCAAAGGTTTATTGAACGGAAACCTACAGGAAATCGGTCGTGACACGAACAGCTCATCGAGGATCTGTTCTTCTAGCAATGCTCCTCATTACCAGAAAAGTGGCATGGCCTCTTTGGGGACCTGTATGGCCATAAACGTATGGAATACATGCAAACTGTCAACATTCCGAGCCTCAAATATTCGTCTTTTTGCGCATCATATGCACTGTTGGAAGCCTCACAGTCGCTAGCCTCATAACGTGTATGTTCTGCTGGCGTGTCCTGCGACTCAAAACTGGGTTCGACTGCCGGAACATCTGAGAAAGGCATGGTAATACGGTACAGAATGTCAACGATGCACCTCATCTCGTTTCGGGGTATATCGCCGGGGGAGATATGGCTTATTCGCAGCTTTCGTCGAGATATCTAAGGGGATATGGTCTCGGTTTACATACGCCTATTCGGGAATGTACTCTGAGATGTTGACAAGTCCAAGCTAGATGCAGCCTAATAACCTTCTCCTGAATCACTGCGATTCTTGCACAGACGATACCCCATGTGACTAACTGACTACTTTACAGTATACTCAGGGGTTAAAGTACACAGCGTCATGTCAAAGACTTGACAGCAGTCACAATCTCACTAGCCCAGCACTTGTAACCAGAACAACCAATGCCGGACTAATACAATACGAATGCGAAGTCATGACAATCCGCCAACCTCCTATCATGTCAGCTCATCATTCTAACACCAGCTGTGCCTATAAAATCTTGTGTGGAATAGCTTGCGCGCACATGAAACCTAGTAGGTCGAGCATACCTAATCAACTGCACGACTATATACAAATAGCCACTTTACAGAAATAACTTATCTTAACTGCTATCCTCTGCATACTTCCAAACTACTACCACATACCTAGCCATCCACTACCCACCCCTCATGGCAGATGATCCAAACGCGATAGCCAACGGGGCTCAACCACGATGTGGAGGATAAAAAAGTTCACAGAACTTAACACCTCTACTCCTCGCGTACGTGCATTCATCTACTCTAGCTTTGGAATAATACCCACTAAACACGAGTCTCGACCGATTTAGCCCCTGCCATGGCACCATAACCTAAATTAAGCATCTTTGTCCCCCGCTCCGCCCGCATCACCAATGATCCAATGGACTTTGCAAACATGGCTAGTCGGTTGGATGTCTGAGGAGGATGAAGACTGTGTGCCACTCCTTGCTTAAGAGATATGCGTATGTTGTAACATTTTCTCTCTCTTTGCCTCTCGTCTCTGTGTTCAGCGGATGGAGGTATAGTGTTTGTATCGTGCTTGGAAGTGATAAAGAAACTCGTTCAATTTGCTTGCTGTTGATATGTCTAACTTGTTTGAATCTGTCTCTTTATACATACATATACATATCAAATGTTATTTTTTTGAAGTGATTATACATACCTCCACCTACTATCCTCGTATATGCCATAGCTCGACATCACTGCACACATGTCGCGCGAACGATGAACACGAAGAGAAGGAAACTGGTTAAGACAGATGGACCAACGATATATCAGTATGGAATGTCACAATCACGTAAAGAAGCTGGACAATTTTGAACATAGATAGTGGACATATAAAAGAATTCGTTGCACAATACAGAAAAAAGAGACCCTTCTCCAACCAACACCAAGCAAAAGCCATGTGACCAAAGTAGACATAAAGGGAGAGTTGATACCAGGAAACGTGAACAAGTATCGTGTTATGTCGGTCGCGTCGTCTGTTTTTTCTTTCAATATGCTCGCCAGCAGATACATAAGTGCACAGATCCGAATCATATACAGGAAGATGGTACTGCTTTCCCCCAATTTGCAACACCACAAAATCTAAAGAAAAGAAATAGGGCACAGGGGCTTTGGCGTCCTACACCACACCCCCCAAATCCCCTTTCCAAAAACCAAGACATTTCATTTCTTCAACAAGATTTTAACGGCGGATGCTCGTCGCAGGGGATGCATTTCTGCTTACTCTCCCACGTCGCTGGTTACCACCAGGAGCCTGCTGGTGCTGAGGTGGCGCGTACATGCCGTATGGCGGATACATGCCCGGCATACCTTGGCCGGCGAGGTTAGCCGGTTGCATCATCGGTGATCCGTTGAAGCTGCCCGGGCCTGCAACAGGTGAGGCGTTGCGGTAAGCATCCATACCAGGAGCTGGCGGTTGGAAGCCGTTCATCTGAGGATAGAACTGGCCCTGTCGGGCCAAGAGCTGCTGGTATTGCATCTGCTGTTGGTTGTTCATGCCCGGCATGTTTGGCATGTACCCGCCCATTGGGAACTGCTCAAAGCCGTTTGAATCCATACTTGTTGTGCGTTGGAGCGCGACGGGATCGTAGCCGGGGGGAGGAGCCTGGTAGAAGTTGCCGGCATTGGGTGCTCCAGACGCGACGCTGTCCTTGGACGCTGGTCGAGTTGCGGAATGGTCACGTGGGCCAGGTCCGCCGCGGGTAGAAAGGCCGACCTCGTCCATGAGGCGCTTGTAGCCTTGTTGTGGCTGTGCCTTGATACGCAGGAGCACATTGCGTACGTTCTGCACAACATCGGTGCGGATTTGCTCATCAAAGAAGGGCGTGGTAAGTACCTTGAAGATCAAGGTAGCGCCGCAGTTCTGATCAGCCAAGATGCTCTCCAGGACCTGATCATTTGGCGAGAAGAAAAGGGCTTGCAGAATAGTATCGCGAGCCTCTGGCTCATTGCGCTGGTTGATAATCTTCAAAACAGTGAGGTATGCGACTTTGTGGGTGCAGAGGTGGACAATGTGTGGCACCAGTCGAGGAGCCAAAACTGTACGTCTCCTTGGGAAAGTGCAAGTGTCGAGGAACCAGGTCAAGAGGAGAGCTCCGTTGGCGTTGGTTGCCAATTGGACACTGTGGAGAGCAATTGCAGCAGCCACCATTCGCTGTTGGTCCTTTGTAGCGTAATGGCTCTCCAAGCAAGCCCTCATAGCGCGAGCACCGAATCGGCCCTGCGCGAGATTCCAAAGTCTACCGAGCATGACCTCAAAGATGAAGTCATTGAATTGCTGGTACTTAAGGCATCCCTGCATGACGTAGTTGCCAAACTGATCAAGGAAGAGTGCCATGGCGTAGGGTCGAACAGCATCGACAACCATCTTCTGCATCGTCTCAGACTTGGAGACATCGATGATCTTCTGTGCAGCCCAAGTTCCGTTCTTGTGCACACCAATCTTGGCTAGGTGAGGAGCAATCTCACGAAGCATGGCCTCCTTGGTGGGCTCTTCGCAGAACTCAAACAGCTTTTGCACAACAGTGTTTCCAAGGTAGTCAGAAGACAACTCAGCAATCTCAGGAAGCATTGCTATGGCAATGTTCTCAATATCTTCCTTTGAGCAAGAACCATTGTCAATGCGCTTGCGAATCTCGCGCAATCTGGGGGCATCATGGATGCGGGTGTGGCTTGGCTCCTCAACCGATGGGATCTCGTCCACATAGTTGTTGAACTGAACAGCCTTCTCAACCTTGGCAGAGATACTCGTTTGCTCGTCGTCGGTAGCACCCAAATCTTTCACAATTTGAATAATGTCGTTACGAATATCGCTGAGCTCCGGAGTAGTCAATGGCACATTTGCGGGAACGGTACTCAACTTGGCTGCAGATGCAGAACCAGCCGCACCCTCAGCCTGGGCCTTGGAAAGGGGATCTGGGCTTGGTGAGGGGAAGAGGCCGTTGTGACCGGGGGTTGCTGCCGCACTTGGAATCTTAGCGTAGCCAATGCGCACGGGACCAGCACCAGGGAAGATTTCCTTTCCGTTCAAAGTGGACTTGGCCTGGACGGCACTCTCGAGGTTTTCGTAATTGACGAAACCGCAGTTCTTGTGGGTAAGAACGCGTGTAGATTCGATGTTACCATACTGAGCAAAGATGACCTGTAGCGATGAGACGGTGGTTGAAGAAGGAATATTGCCAAGCCACAGCGATCGAGTGGGTCCTTCCAAAGTTCCGTCGTCTCCCAAGTTGGAGCCTGGCAAATGAAGCTTCTTGACAGCCTCTGTGAGGTTGTACTCAGCATCCTCTGTCATGTCACCAGAGCCCATACCGTTGTCAAAACGTCCCATGGCAGGCAAGTAAGAACGCATTGCGCCTCGCGAGGGGGCGTCAAGCACACCGGCGGTGCGAGCTCTGGGGCGTGCATTGGAAGCAATGTTGGCAAATGCCTGGACCTCGAGGTTGTGCTGGCGGACAGCTTCATGGATGAGTAGTGCGTTTGCTTCAGCAGGAGTCATGGCGCCACTGTAGCCGCCATACTGATCCTCCTCGTCCTCGGCGTACTTTTCCTTTGCATTGACAGAGTAAGAGCGGAAGCGGTTTGCGCTGTTGGTACTGTGGCTGTTTGCATTCCGCTGGCTTTCCAGCAGAAGCTCAATGTCTGAGGGAGCCAAAGTAGCTCGTGCAGGCTGAGGAGTGTCAACCAAACCAAGGTAGTCTAGAGTCTTGACATCCGTGTCCGCAAGTGAGTCACGAGAGAAGGAGGACCTCGGAGAGCCTGGTCCATTGGAGGGGACCGAAGCAATGCTTTGGAGCGTGCTGCTGCGGTCGCGGCTGTTTGACCATCCATTGGAAAAGATGGGGTTACCGAAAGGAGACACAGAGGGCTGGAGGTAGCCCGGTCGTTGAGGCATTGAGCCCGCACGAAGGCGCGAGAGCAATGCGGACTTGGCTGCAGCATTTGTAGATCCAAGAGCGTTGAAGCTCGAAGTATCGGTGGGTGTACCCGGGCCAGGCTTAAAGGGGCTGGTAGAGGGAGTCGGTCGCGAGCTCTTTGGGAGGAGTGACGAGGCGGACATGAGGCCCGGCGGCGCAGCAGAAGGCGAGAAGCGTGAAGGAAGCGTCCCAGCACGGGCACGGCGACCCGTGGGCGCAGCTGAAACTGTCTCTGGCGCAGAGTTGTTGAAGTCGGGGAAACTCAAGTTCTCGCTGTTAGGAGACTCTGGGATGGTCTCGCGCAATGGAGTCGAATTACCACTGGTAGGAGGGCCCCACATCTGCGGATTCAAGCCTTCTTGCGCTTGGATCTCACGTGCACTGTGATTGCGTTAGCTCGAGTCGTGCCTTGTTTCAAGATGCGACAAACCGTTTGGAAAATAGTCTACCGCCATATTCGTGCGATGGGGAGCCTGCGCCCAGCCTGGTGCCGGCGGCTGCAGCGCCCAATGGGTTCGAGGGGTTCCCAGAGAAGCGGAGGGAGCCGCTGTTGGGAGGCTCTACGGGGGACGTGTTACCGGTCGAGGAAGAGCCCGAGAGCGGGGGCTGGGGCAACTGGGGGATGTAGTTGAGGTTGATGTGGTGGTCGGGGCGGTTGGAGGGAGGAGCCATTATGGATTACAGACCCTGTTGTAACGGCAATAATCTAATGCGGGAAAAGGCAGTCGTGATGACTCGGTTACCAAAAGCCAGGGTAATTGTTTTCAAAAGAAAAACGCAGGTTGGTGCCGGCCAAAGGAATGTGAGGCAGAGGGATTAGTTCCAGCAGAGGCTCGGCTCAGGGCAAGCGTGTGCAATGTTGGTAGGGCGGTGCCGAGGGGCTGAGGCAACGACGGCGAATGGATCCAGTCCGGATAGTGCGCGATTGCCGGCAATGGCTAGAGTAAACTCGCGATGCTTCAATTCGGCGCCGAGTGTAGGCCGGATTCGGGCGACGTTGCAGCGTGGGGCCAACGCTGACAAGACGAGTGCGGAGGAGCGAGCTGAACTAGGCGAGAGCGCAGGGCGTGCCCAAGAGCAGCTGGGGCGTTTATGTACAGAGGCAGTGGAGCCGTCGACTAAAGGGACGGCAGGGCGTCGAGAAGGAGTGACGGGTGAGAGCGGCAGAGCGCAGTCGAGGGACGGTCGCGGGCCTCTGGGGGTGGGGAGAGGGGCGGGATTATGGGGAGTGGAACTGTACAGCAGGCGGGCGGAATAGACAGATCACCGGAGTGCCTGGAGAACAGAAGTAATAGGGATTAAGCAGAAGGCCAACTAAGCATTCGAGCTCATGGAGAACGGCCAATGTAGCTAGAGACCACTAAAGGGCGTCGAGGAGGAGGGGGGAAGGAGAGAGAGGGATGAGCAATGGGATGATGATGCGCGGTGGGAGGGTTTGGGTGAGGTTTCGCTTGATAGAAATGGGGAGCCAGGCTAGGAAGACGAGCGGTCTAACTTGATTGGGCGTGGGCTGCCAGAGCAGGCACGTTACAGGTTGCGGCCACGATGCGGGCGGGCGGCCGGCTGCGGTGCTGGTGCTGTACTGGTGCTGCTGGGCTGGACGGTGGTGAAGCTGCCGCTCGTGCTGGGCATGTTTACATGAACGATGAGGGAAGAGAGAGAGAGAAAGAGAGGCTGCTGGTGGTTTGCTTGTGGTGCTTCTGATGCTGCTCGTCTACTACTCTCTCAAATGCTCTTTGTAGTACGACTAGGCCGACTCCTACTACGCCTACATACTATTGACCACAGGCCTACCAAGACTACTCTACGCCTGCTGCTGGTGGTGGGACTATCACTGCACGCCTGCAGCTTGTTGCTTTTGGACAGATTTCAGGGGCTGTCACCCTCTGGTGTGGACAAGGCCCGCCTGGATGGCCGCGGAAGAGTGCAGCGCATGCCCGCAGCGTCTGAAACACAGAGGCGCGTCGAGAAAGGCCGTCAGTCGAGTATCTGACGTGGACTCTGGTTTGCCTCTTGGGACTGCACCCGCTGATTGGCCCCGCCCGACCAGACGATAATCTTGCGCTGTTGCGGGCCATGAAACTTTATCAACCACGCCGCGCACTCAGCAACTGCTCAGCGCCCTTCGAGCTGCCCTCGATGGCTCCTTGGACTCGCTGCCGCTGCCGCTGCCGGGCCTGCTGAACGGGCGAGCCAAGTACGCTTGAGCGCCCTTGTTGAAGCGCGTGTCAGACTGCCACACGACGGGGCATAATAGAGCATTGATTACGACTAGCCCACATGTGCTGCACATAGACAAGCCGGCAGTGAGATGCATTCCCCAGGAGACTCATGGCCAGTGACATGCTGCGGGCCCTGGGAACTGCCGCTGGCCATCAATCGCATACTTACGCATACGAGCTCGCTGTCGTCTCCGTCGTCGTCGTCGTCGTCTTCGTCGCTCTCCGATCCGAGTCAGGCCCAGCCGCTGTCCGCTACCCGCTGCATTGGTGTTGGCGGCCAGTCCGAATCGCCCATTGCCCGTCGCGTCCACTTATGTGCCGCCCACCCCATCACCACCAACCGTTACGGCAACCCTCCCCAACAACGGTCCTTGAAACAAAATGCCCCGGCACGCATAATTGCATTAGCCCAGCCAATAATTCATACTGTCTCATGGAACTATTCTGGAAGACACGTCGCCCTTCCATATTCAGCACATTGTGCCTCAGGCCCTAGCCGTGATTGATCGCTGCTCGCTTGCACCTTCCCTGCCAACCCTCGTGCCTGCCTTTCTACTCACCACCGATAATGTCTGAGGCCGCGTCCAACATCGCCATGCAACACGCCCCACCACCCTCTCCTCCCCGCGACCCGTCTCCACATTCCGACAATGACCGCGACAATGAAGCTCCCGCCGAGCTCATGGTCACGACGCGTGCCCGCCGATCCAATGCTGGTAACCGCATGTCCACCCTGCTCGCGCAATCGGCCGAGGATGAGCAATGGGGCGAGGAATGGGATGAGGCGCCCGACGAGGAGGAGTTCCAAGGCGACCAGGTGGATGAGCACGACGACTACAATCTAGACTCGTCATCCTCGGAAGACGAAGATGGCGGTGCTGATGACGATGACGACGCGGGCGAGAAGGAGCTGCGCAGGGCCGAGCGGCAAGAAAGGAACAAGAAGCGCAAAGCCGCGACAAATCCCTTTGCTGCAAGAAGCGCCGCCGCTGCGCACAAGAGAGTCAAGCTTGACGTCCCCCGCACCCAGTCTCCTACGCATGCCCCGCCACGGCCCAAGAAGAAGTCGGAGCGCGCATCATGGCTGCCCACCGAAGAGGATGGTCCGGTCCGAATGTCCAACCGGAAGCAGACAGTCGCCAACAAGGACGCCACACTGGCAAAGCTCAAGGAGAAGGACCGGCGGCGGGACGACACTCTGGCTATGATGAAGGCTGCTGAGGCGCGAAAATTAAAGGCCAAGGAGCAGCCTTTGACGCAAGCTGAGAGGCTCGCTGAGGCCGCCCGTAACGAGCGCATAAATAAGAAGACACTGCACAGGTGGGAGGAGGCCGAAGAAGCAAGGGCAGCTGAGAGGCAGGCCAAAATCGATGCCCTAAAGAACCGCCAGATCGATGGGCCCTTTTATCGCTACTACAGTGGGCCGGGCATTTGGGTGGATGATAAGCTCAAGTACACAGGCAAAGACGCTCCAACCCCGGAGCAACTTGAAGAAAAATTTAACAAGGAGATCGAGGCTGCAGAAGCGGCAATCGCTCAACCAGAGTCCGAAGCAGAGCAGACAAACCCCCCTACACAACATAACACGCAACCATCTGAAAACCATGTAGAGGAAAGTCAACCGGTATTCGACCCCCTAGCCCAAATCCATTCTCCAATGAGGACATCCCATACACCTCCTATACCCACGACGTTACCAGTACAGCAAGATTCACTACAGATGCCGTGGACAGCAGCAGCATCTCAAAGCGGAGATGTTTTTATGGGCTCACACGGCATGTCAATGGCAAGCAATGTCATGTTTGCACCCACTAGCCAAGATTCGTCATTCCTCTTTGGCATTGACCAATTTGCTCAAAATCAACAATCCCAGACACTGCCTGGTGATCTCCCACCGAATCCTTTTACTCAAGCATCGCCATTCCAACAGCAACAGCCAAATCCACAGCCCTCATTCTCACAAACACCACACCCCCCGCTCAATGACCCTTCAATACCACAAAGCAACGGTAACCTATCAATCGGCCCCGAAGCTATGCTCGCTCAATTCCAGAAGCCCGTATTACCACCTGCACCACCGCGCCGCAAAACCATCCGTCGAGCCCTCAGAAACCTACTTATCCTCTCCAATTTCCCCAACCTCGAAGCGCCAGCCCAGACATCTTTAAGAGCAAGGAGTAGCGCTTCACTTCTCAAGGAAAAGGACAAATCAGCATTGGTACAGCTTTACACGGCACTTTTCGACTGGACCCCCACAGAAGCTGCAAACTACATCCAACAAACGCTCATTGCGCCTCCAAAGCAGCCCAGAAAGAACGCCGCGCACAAGGCCGATGCGGAACTGGCGCTCAAGCCAGGCCAAAAGTTGTGTCCCATTACCAATACAATTGCCCGATACCGCGACCCAGAAACGGGCATCGCATACCGGGACGCACGTGCCTTTGGCGTGCTCCGCGGCGTCGTCGGAGGCGGCTTTGTATGGAGCGGCGATCTGGGCTGTTATGTAGGAGGCCGAGCAAAGCCATTGGAGAGTATGGGCGGCAAAGGGTTTCTGGGTATGCCGCCGGCTAAGAATGTGCCGAGACGGTTCTGGGAAATGTCGAGCCCTAGGTCGGGAAAGAAGAATATGCCACCTCCGCCGCCGACGCCGACGCCGACGCTGGGGAAAACACCGGCTGTGGATGCAAATGAGGCTGCGAGAGAACAAGGGCAGGTGCAGACTCCGGTTCAAGGACGCACACAGGGACAGCCGACAGGTGAGGCACAGCGAGATGCAAGTACAATACCATTGATGGGTGCCCAACCACAACAACAGAGTCCAGCCCCGACAAAGACCGAAGTCAGTGTTGCTCCGTCGTACGAAAAAAAGTAGAAAGGAAAAAAAGTAGAAAGGAAAAAAAGTAGAAAGGAAAAAAAGTAGAAAAATTCCTAGTCTGTATTATATAGATCTGTTCACAGTAGCAACAACATCACAATTATATAATAATCACCTTTTGTACCAGTCCCAAAAAAAAGAGATAAACACACATACAAAGTTGCACACAAGCAAGTGACACAAAGAAATGGGGGGTTAGGGCCAGGTGACAAATCAATTGGAGGATCGTAAAGTCCATGATATGCATTGATGGTTAGCAGACAATTCATCTCAAACGCCATCCGTCTTGTCGTGTCCATCCGCAAGAGTTTTCCAGGCAATGGTAGATAAACATGCCCATGCCCGCAGACGCAACTCCGTTCCCACCATGATGAAGAAACCGCAGCAGGCGGAACAGTAGTAGTTCCAGAGAAACCGCCACTCTCGACCCCCCAACAATGACCTTTGTACTAGTCATCATCATCATCATCCTAATCAGCAGCCTACTCCTGCCGCTTATTTCTTCTCCTTCTTCGCGCCACCCTTGGCCTTGGCTGTGCCTCGGAAAGTCTTCATCCTGTTCTTGCGTTGCTTGCCTGTTTGCCCTAGTCAGTATTCATGTCCTTTTCATATCCCCTATTTTTTTTCTACCCCATGGGCCTTTGTATTTCATAGAACCATTGCTTGATCCACGAGACCATATAGGGTATCGGCGAGGGAAACGTACGCTGCTGCCTGCTGGCCTTCTCGACCTTGGTGGCCATGCCGTATCGTACTAGCCTGTAGCGGGGCTCGAACTTCTTCATGGCCTCGGCACTGTCGTAGATGAGAGCGAAGCCGGTGCTCTTGCCGCCACCAAAGTGTGTCTTGAAACCGAAGACGGAAACATCCTCCTTCTTGGCCTTGTACAGCTCACCGAGCTTGCCACGGAGCTCGTCCTTGGAAACGTTTGCGCGGTTGGGGTGGAGGACGTCGCTGTACACAATTCCCGTCAGACTCATCAATTCCCTTTTCCACAATCACCTTGTCCGGTGTATTGGTTTTTTATCGGTGTCGTTTGCACTTACACGACCATCTGACGGCGTCCGAGAAGAGGGTTGCGGATGAACTTGCGCGTGCGCAGGGTAACTTGAGAGTCGGCCATGATGGATAAGTTCGACCTGCAGCGACGGCTGTTAGACGTCGTTTTACAAATGACGGTAGAACGAGCAGGCTTGCAAGTTGCACGTACTGGACAGAGATCGATCCTGCTGTTTGTCGATTCGCTGTGGTTAGTAGCTGGCGGCGGGATGGAGATGTCGAATTTGCGGTGCGTCGTGTCGGCGGTCGGCGGTGCGCCTGCCTCGCTTAGACTGCCAAGACGCCCCGCTGCAAAATTAGGTAAGCGGTCGGGGGCAGGAACACGACTGCTGATTGTCACCCATGAGCCTGCAGGTCTTCTACACTTGGCGCTGAACTAGTTGAACTTTCGAAAAGGCTATTCAGACTATCCTCAACGCTACCCCCGCTATGGAAAACCCTGAACAGCTGGCGCAGTTGCGCGTCCTGCAACGCCAGTACTTTCAACTGGTCGAGCCACAACAGCTGAGATGGCCGGACAATGCAACCTTGAAGAGGCCCCTGGTGCAGGCATGGCTGTTCGGCAACTTGTTCGACCCGTCCAAGGTTTCCTCGCCACCACCGGCTCGCTACCAGCTTAGAGTCCTGAAGGAACTTGTCGGGAAACTCGAGCGGTCCATGACTGACCCTGAGGAGGATGTATGGTCTCCTATCTCTTCATCGCGGTTCTTGCCTTTGCTGTGTACAACCATGTACCGTACCAAAAGATATTTCATGTGCAGGAATCAACTTGTTGCAGCATCCGCTGACTTGCCCCCTCCTACCTTGTTATAGGAAATCTCAGATGATATCATGGAAGCAATGACAACTTTACTCGTGGCCAGCTTACCTTCTGAAACGGATGCCGCTCAGCAGAAAGCCTTTGTGACGTACTCGTTCCCCCAACAGTCGACTGACGACAGCGATTCCGGTGAGCGTGCCGTGACGCTATTGGAAGCCCGTTCCGTCATTTCTTCGTCTGGAACGACGGGTCTGCGAACATGGGAAGCCGCTTTACTACTCGGATCCTACCTTGCATCCGAACCTGGCCACGTGTTCATCAATCAGAAATGGGTGTTTGAACTTGGTGCGGGGACGGGTATGCTATCCATACTGTGTGCGAAGCACCTGGGTGTGGCTGGTATCGTGGCCACGGATGGCGATGAGGCTGTGGTGGATGCGATCAATACCAATCTCTTTCTGAACGGACTCGATGTCGATGACGACTCTAGCTGTCAAGTGCGTACAGCAGCACTCAAGTGGGGCTATCCAGTCGACGCAACAACATTTTCAGAAGACTACGGAATGGAGGTTCCAGACGTTGTAATAGGAGCAGACGTGGTAAGCTACCATGACGGCGGTGTCGCGGAGAAGTGGGTTTGACAGCGCTGCAGACCTATGACAAGTCGGTGATTTCACGCTTGGTTTCGACTCTGAGAGAATTCTTCGACCTGAACCCGGCGCTCCTAGTTTTTATTTCTGCGACCATACGCAACGAGCAGACGTTCGAGACTTTCTTGAATGCGTGCGGTGGGTCACCCTGCGTGGTGTTATGCGGTCGGGGTTACGACATTGGGTGCGATGTTTGCTGACTTTTGTGGGGTAGAGCGGAACAGGTTCAGTTTCGAACGGGTTGAGTGGCGGCTGGTGCCTGAGCATGTCCAGGAAGGCCCGTTTTATCCAACATCAACGCCGATCCAGATCTGGAGAATTGCAAGAGGCCAGAACACAAATAACTTGTTTGCTGTATGACATGGATTGCGAGGGGAAAAGTCTTGTCCGTCACATGCGAGGTGCGTACGAATTGAAGTGCGCGTACGGTGTTAATATTGTGGGTTACCGGCAGCGGCAAGGTTTCAGGATTGGGAGAGGACAAAATTTTTGATGATTCACTATGTCTGGGACGGCGGGTAGGCGAGTAGTCTGTCGTTGTCGGGCCTTTGCTGCGCGGCCGCTAAGGGAGGTAGCAGTAGCTACTATACGCGAGTAGAAAACAAAATGGGACTCACATCTTTGCTATGCACAGTCAGAGGGCCGGTCAAACGCAACAGGCTGGCAGCGAATTATGGGCAAGGCAAGAGAAGGACGTGTGGCTGCCTAGTCATCCACCGATAGGTGTAGAGGTGCATGGCATGGGTGGTCGAGGATAAGCAAACAAGCGAACGGTGCGGCGATGGGTGGAGGGGGTGCCGCAAAGCACCGGATTACCCCATTGGGCCGATATGTCAAACATTCGCAATATGGCTCCATTGTGTTGAGCAGGCACGTAATATGGACAGCACGCTGGGATTGGGAATGTTGTAGCAGCGCCGATAAGCAGGCGCTCGCAGACATTGGGATGGTGTGAACGAGTACCTAAGTAAGGAGAGGCGGCGCTACCAGAGGCAGCCCATGGCGGCGCAGCGTGGACCTTGATGGGCTTTGGTTTGCGTGTGGGTGTGGCTCGGAGCGCCATTTGCTGGAAGAGTGTGCAGCGCAGCGCAGTGCAGAGCAGAGTACGATGGCTACGGGCGCAGGATTGGCCACTACGACAATTCTACTCACACCGGACGAGACGGAGCCTGAGTCTGAGGCAGCGTGGTGGATGCAGGTGGGGGGTCGCAGGCGGGCGGGGAGTCAGCGCCCAGACGGCGGCGGCATTGCGTGCTGGAATGCTATCACGGCAACGGGTCTGTCGTGATGGCTATCACGAATCGTTCCCCACATACCCAAGCAGCCGTATCCCGACGGTGCAACTAGGGCCGTTGCCGTCGTCAATCGCAGCGTTCTAGAACTGGGCGTGGGTTTGCACAGGCCGGCCTCGTAATTACTTATTGACCGCGTCGTCCCCCTACTGCTCTGGTTGCCGTCGTTATCATTTCTGTTATCAGTTCCCGAGACCGTTGCTTGTTCCACTGCCGCTGAAAGCCGCTGGCCTCGAGGAAATACTCGGCTCTGTCTCTCTCATCGTCCCCCCTCCCCCCCCCCAAAGCCCGCCAACCCACACAGCCCCAGTCCACCCAGTGTTCCACCCTCCCGTCGGCAGCCCTGTCCGCAGATCGCATCCGGACCGGCGACAACTCCTTCAGTGTAAGTACATACATAATACTATCCACGTACATAAGTCATTGCTTCTTTTTTTTTGGGCATGACGCATCTGCCCATTCTTGCCCTCGTCACCTCCCATACATCACACACACTGCTGCCCTGCTGCCCGATGACGGCGGCTCTGCGCGCCAATTCGTATTAGATAGCAAGTCCTAATATCGTTGTTCCTGGCTAAGTTGATGGCGCAGTGCACAAGGCGATAAGGGGTTCTAAACAAAGCCACGCACGAACCTTCCGTCATATCAGCCAGCTGGGAACTGGGCGGCCGGTGTCACCGCTTCTTTCGCTTGGTCGTCTTCAGCCTGTAAAAATATCGCGCACCGTGCGCGATTATCAACTCGCTGGCATTTAGCCCTTTTAAACTTCTTCCGCCTCCACCATGGCCACGCATCACGTTCGTCACCTGTCCCATCAATCCAAGAAGTCGCAGCCACCGCACGCACGGCCCTCTCGGCCTCTGTCAAAGCGCGTGCAATCCCACGGGACCAAGGCTGCTTCCAAAGTCGCTCCCTCCAAAGACGCCGACCTCGCCGTCGACGACGACGACGAAGACTCAATGGCAGTGAGCTTCTTGAACTACTGGTATGTACTTCACTCACCTATACCCCTTTTTTACCACCCACCCACAATATACTAACCCACTCATGCAGCACTGTTTGCGAGAAGCAAATTGTTGTTCCAAGCAACACCGTGCTCTACTGCTCAGAAAGGTATGATGATGACACCCTCGTTCTGACAGCCCCATCGCGCACAGACCACTTTGCTAACCTCTATACACAGCTGCAAGAAAAAAGACGCTGAGAAAAGCCTCAACTATTACTACGATCATTACTCGCCGCCAACCACTCCTTTCGCAAACTTTACCTTTGACGACCTTGCCTTCCGTGACATTGTTCCCCAGCGCTCCCCCACCCAGCCAGACTCAAAACGCTCGTCATGTGCCTTCTCCGATGTATCCTCGGATGATAACGCCGACGACCGCTATCAGTCCGACGCATCAAAATACTTGCGCAAGTTTCAATCAGCACCTACTTATGCACCTGATAATATGCGGGCCTACCGACCCCGCTACAATCGTGCATCAACATCACAATACAGCACTAGCGCTGCCCCTTCGCTGTCACATACTCCGGCTTCTTCAGTAAGCTACTCGCTGCCATATACGCCTGCTACTACGCGACCTCTTCCTCCCAGGACTAAGCCGTCCCGCAACGGATCATATGGAGGAGGAAAGTCGATTGATCTTGTCACACCTGTGACGGCTCCTTCAAGTCCCAAGTCCTACTCGCACAAGTCACCCGCCGTATCCAGGACTTCGACCAGCACCATCGAAGGCGAGATTGTTTACGCAAAGTCGCCTGTTCCCGAACCCTCGGTTGCCAGCGGTAGTCTTGGTCGACTACTCGCCTCATCACCTCGCCACGTCTAGACAAACAATGTTCATTTCTTTCCCATGTTTCCCTTTTACATGGGCTTTGTTGCCTTTTTCTCGTTTATAATAGATACCATGACCGTAAGGTTTATCTGCTATGCAGGCGTAGCTGTTTGAGATTATGGAAACGCACACCCATGATCTCTCTCACTCCTCAAAAGTTTACCAGCAATATACCAAGAATTGTTTTTCCATCCTTCTTTTTTGTTTTCATTTTTCCATAGATACCTTTTGTTTGCTACCTGGAAAGGGGAGGGTAGTGATATGATGACTAGGGAAAGGTGGGGGACCGGTCAAGTAACTTAGATAGCTTGTGACCCAAATACACACTATGTACGTCACCCGCACTTTAGGTTTCTTCGCAGTCTCTCTCTCTCTCTCTCTCCCTTTTTTTCTTTGCCTTTGCCACCTGTAATGACGTTGCATGACGCCCTTTCTGCCACGTACATGATCCGAAGACATGGTAGAACAAAGGGGATCTTCCTTGTCCATCTTGTTTTCTCCGCCTTCTAGATCCAAATCTATGCAATCTTGCTCACCGATGTCATGGTTTCACGTCGTTCTGACGTTACAGCTACTCTAACAATCATCCCGAAGCATGGATCCAATGGCGCATTGCGTACCAGATTTCCACCTTGTTTTTTGCCCTGCCTTTCTCTCTCTCTCTCTTTTTGACTGCAGCTATTAGTACAATGCAACTAATTTGTTAGCTATAACTACCACTAACACTGCAGCCTCATTCCCCCGAAATCCCTTGAGTTTATCTTACTCCCTATCTTTCTCTGGAATAGTCCGCCTTGTGCGATTGACGGTGTCTCTATTTATAGTGTAGTTATGCGGGAGGATAAGACATGCGGGTTATATTAGTTAGTTAGTTTTTTGGCAACGATACAGAAATACTTGGGTCGATGATAACGGGTGCAAAGAGGAGTGGAATGCGCTAGTGGTGTGCCTTTACGCTATTCATATGCAAATCAAATATTATTGAACATGTATGTTCCAGCAAGTATGTAGTTATAACTAGTCCTGGTAATGTTCATGCTGCAGCTTTGATCCGGATAAGAGTAGAACAGTCTCAGATGAATACAACAACTTGCACCTAGGCTAGTCTCGGTAGTCAAAATGAAGTAGCTACCAGAGAGACGCTTGATAAGCTATATATTCACATGTGCGGATGCTGAGCATTATCGTAGAAGGATCGTATGGACTTGCATCATTACACGTTGGATAGCGTGTATGCATCATGTTGGTGCGGAGCAACGACCCAGGGATCAGGGTATGAGCATGGGGGTGGGGTGTGATCTGTCGTGCAGGTAACTTGTTATGGGAAATGAATTGATTTGCTTGTTTAACAAGTTAAGCATTCTAGGCTCGGGCTTGGTGAAAGCTTCGCAGTGGAGTGATGCTCTTTGTACCAATCGAGATCGGGCGGTCTGGTTTCTTAGGTATGCGTTGTTTCTTGGGTAGGTTGGGTGCTTTTTTCGCTACGTCAACGGTGTGGTTACTTTTTCGTTCTTATCTGTTTTCTTTTCCTGCTGCAGTGGTTTGTTGGCTCTGTACTAGAAAATTTTGAGACTTGCTTTGATTTGGGTTATCTGATAGCTATACGTGTCTATAATTCTTTTTTTTGTTTTTGCCTCCTGTCGTGGTTCGGTGATCAGGTCGAATACACTTGCCATCGCTTTCAGAGAATGGAAAGATCCCATATCCGTTCTGGTTCTCATAGTTCTACGTATTCCTTCTTTTTTTTATATTCGCATGACCAAATTCCAGATGTGTTGTGGATTGTTCTCGAGAATTTCTATCTTGTCAGTCACTCTTTCGACTCAGATACGAAATGATAAAGGTTATCTTATGATCCATGTCCTCATTCTCAACTTCGAAACCGACTTGGTTGCAGCTTTTTTGTTAGTCAGATCCATATCACCTTGCAAATCAAACCAGTTGTTTTGTGAGTAAGTATATTACTATTTTGATGTTACCAAGGAGTGTGTATATACAGTAAACGCCATTTCATGCTGTATGAAGCAAGCGCTATGCCAAGTATTTAAAGCCAATATAAACATTATCGCATATTCATCGTCGCCCTCATCTCTCCGCCTCTTCTATTTTTTGTGTAATGGTGCACAACGGTCATGATTTAAAGACCGCAGTTGCTGACAGCAACCTGCTGGTACTGAGCGTCGATGCGGCCGAGGGCAGCAGCCTGGCCGTTGGTGAGCTGGTTCATGGCAGCCTGGGCAATGTTGAAGCCGGCGCCAGTGTGGTCCATAGCAAGGACGTAGATGGTCCTGCCGTTGTAGGTGAGACCGTAGCAGGTACCGCACTGAGGGCTGTTCCAGCCAGCAATGCCTTGGTAACCACCGATGAGGGGGAAGCGAGGAAGCCTGCCCTGGGTGGGGAAGCGAGCAGCCAGACCGTTGGTTCCGTCAGAGCAGGAGACAACGTTCATGGAGCGGCCGGCGTCATCGTAGCCGGTATCGTAGCTGACTGTGAGGAGTTAGTCTTCAAGTTTTCATGGTGCTCTGTAAGAGTACTGACCAGTGATGGCGGAAGCCATGCTGGAGAAGCCGAGAACGGCAGCGGAGACGGCAGTGAAGAACTTCATGGTGATGGTTTTGGATGGGTTTGGTGATTAGATTAAGGTGGAAAGTTGAGGCGTTGAGTTGAAGAGTGATTATTAGATGTTGTAGTGATGGAAGCTGAGTGCTGGTGATGATACTTTGGACGAGTGACTTGTATGTGATTTATAGTAATTGACATGACGATGCCTCCACTCTACTACTGCGTAGACTTCCGCTCCTCCCCGTTACATGGCTAGTGGATTCCCGTTACATTGATGGTTGGGCACGGGCGGTGCAGGGCGGAATGCGAGCAAGCTGCTAGGTCTAGCCTACCTTTTCCACTATACTAACTGCAACAGTACGACCATCTGACCATGGGGTGGCGGGATTTCTGAGAAAATAGATGAATGTGATCATAGCGTACAATGGACACGAGAGGTGCTGCGGAGAAAGGTGATATTTTTGGATGACCCACAGCGGGAAGGGCATGCGCTAGCTGAGATGAGCAGGACAAGCGAGCTAGACAGCCAAAGTTATCGGATGGATGCATTGTGTCTTGCCGCAACAGGCATCCATTGCCAGCGATCAATAAAATGACCCTGCACCCCACCTGCGCTCGTGGCACATTCAAGGCTGCTTCCCAGATGCAATCCAGTGTTGTCTCTCAAAAAGGAGTCTCTTCGGCTCTTGATAAGCGGTGGGAGGCAACTGTAAGACGGAATACGGGGACAAATACTACATGTCATGGCTATACGATTAATGCTTACTACTAGCGATGGTAACGCTGTACTACTGTGTGGTGAAGTACGTCGTTGAAGGCTATTGTTGGGTGGACTGACTTGCCGTAGCCAAGCCTATAGCTGCTAGCAGCGGCACCCTTGGAAGACGTTCTCCATCCTCACCGCCGAAAGCTAACTAAGTAACCCTCTGGATCGCACGGATGGGCGCACGCCCTGTGTGCAGCCTCGTTTTCAGAAGTCGGTGGAAGATTCTCCTCTTCGTGATGGTGGATCCTTGTATACGGCTTCCTCGTATTTTCCTCTCAGTCCCCTCGGTTTCCGTATGGTGCAGTGCAGCAAGAACCCCGATTTGTGACCTTGTTCTGCTACCAACAAACAATGTGAGCATATGGCCCGACAACACGTGTGGTCTTACCATTCGACATGTTCGGCCGATGTTAGGTGTTGTTGTGGTAGCCCGGACGAGAAGTTCTGCGTTCTGTCGCATGTTCTGCAAATCCCGCGGACTTCCTACGCATGGAGCAACGACTGTCAGTGATCAATTGCGACGGCCTGGCAGTTATGTATTTACGCATGTAGTGGCATATGCGCTCTGGACACGGCAACGTTTAACATGAGCCGTTGTCATGCCCGTCGAATTGCATGTCATCCAGGTGGCAGCCGTTTGTGTGTCCGTGCGCAGGTATCCAAAACATCTTCTGTTCCATCATGGTTCACGGCCAGGTTTCATCCCTTGGTCAGAAACATGACTGCCGCGAAAAGCAGCGCTTACGCCTCTCTACTTGCGGTGCTTGCGGTCCTCATACTGCCACAGCCACACGGCCACGCGCCCAAAAGGCATTTCAGAGCGGCAAGTGGCTGAATTGAAGCGCCCAAGGGGCCAGTAGCCATGCCCTGCGCCCGCCCCTATGTTTCCCCGGAATCGTGTTTAGATGGCTAAGGCGCTAAGAAAAGGATGCCTTTGTGACGCCTGGGGTTTCGAAGGCTTCATGCCCTTGACTGCGCAGGCCGACTTTCCCGCTTCGTGGGCGGCAACTGTTTCCACCTCCATGCTATATAACCTTCGCAAATGTGCTCACCTCTTGACTTCTCTTGGTAGGCAGGTCCACGTTCTTCACTTCTCAGTACCAATTACATTCCATCTCATATCCCACCCTTCTCACGCATTATCTTAATCACCAAAACGAGCTAGTCTCTTTTCATCTCAACCAATCATAATGCATTTCTCCACCATCTTCACTGCTTCCGCCATGGCTGGCGCCGCTCTCGCCGCCGAGCACACCGTTGCTGTTGGTGACAAGGCTGGCAACCTGGTCTTCAAGCCCGACAGCATCATGGCTGCTGAGGGTGACACCGTCATCTTCAAGTTCTGGCCCAAGAACCACTCTGTCGCCCAGGCCACCTTTGCCAACCCTTGCCAGCCTATGAACAACGGCTTCTGGTCCGGATTCGTGCCTACTTCCGATGCCGAGAAGGTTGCCACGACCACCTTCACATACGAGGTTACCAACGCTTCGGCTCCCATCTGGTTCTACTGCACCCAGGGCATGCACTGCCAAAACGGCATGGTCGGTGTCATCAACCCTCCGTAAGTCACAACTGTCATTGTTTCACAAGTTTCCCTTCACTAACATTGTTTAGTCAATCTGGTGCCAGGACACTCGAGGCTTTCAAGACTGCTGCAAAGGCTGCCACTGGCAACGTCTCACCCACATCCACCGCTGGCACTGGCGGCAACCTGACCGAGAGCGACAACAGCACATCAACTGAACCATCTGGCTCACCTTCCTCATCCTCATCCGCACCACAAGCAACCGGTGCTGCCTCTCATGTTGCTGGCAGTGCCCTGTTCGCTGGTCTAGCTGGTGCTTTTACATTCTTCATGCTTTAAGCGGCCGATACAAGAGTGCAAAGCATATTTGATACCCTCATCAGCATGTCATAGAACAGCAGACGTCTTGGGTGCGGCCGGTAATACGCATCATGACAATCAAAAGCCACTGGTGGCTAGGAGTGAAGAGATGAAGAACGAGAATGGGATTATTTCTTGGTAGTAATTATCTGAGTTTTGAATGAACAAATGTATACTCCATATATCTATGCTTTCCGAACCCTGTGCCGTGACAATGCGATCGTTAACATTTGAGTTTCTGAACTCGACGATCATTTCTCTAGTACGAGAAGGCGCGGATAATCTACAATCTACAGGTTCTGTTAGCAACAGCACATAAACTCTGTCAAAATAAACATGTATATATGTGAAGCGGATCAGACATCCAAGGAAGGTATTCGCGCTCATTGACCATCTAAAGTAGGTTCAATCGATGGCTAGCGTGGAAACTGCGAATGTGGAATGGTTTTCATCATGGTGCAGGGGCGGGGAGTTGGAAGGAAACACAGTAAGACTTACGAAAGCAGCTACAGAGCGCAAATGCGCTGGTGTTGGTTAGCCCGTGTTGAGATGCGAAAGGCGACATGCAGTCTGATGGGAGAAGATGAAGACGAGCTGATCTTGTATCGAGCTGGACGATGCTAAAAACTTCAAAGTGGGCCCGGTAGTATGTTTTGCCGGGCCCACTTATCACCTCTTGGCGATCGGATAGAAGCAATCAAAACAATGGCTACTAAACACCACGTTTTACGTCTTAATAGTTTGTTTATATCACTGTTTTTACTATACAAGAATTGAACAAGGCTTGCCAAGGTCTAAAAACCAAATGAGCCACGTGGGAGCTAAAGCTCTTGTTCTCTTCCCGTTGTCATTGGCAATAACATCAAGATCTTTCCAAACAGGTACCGATTAGATCGTTGCCTTTACTAAAATAAAGTCGTAGGATCCATGACCAAAATCAAAATACTTGATGCTTTTTATATCACGCTTCGGCGGAAGAGACTCTTACCCGACGACAGGGATGCCATAATTCTACTATCCTAGGCTCAGCTATGGGTATAGTCTCATCGTCGGGTTGCGTTGAAGATTACATTCGGTCTTCAAGGCTCATCCTAGTAGAGCATAATGATATGTCTTTTTATAGTCCGATAGTCGCTAAGGCGAGCACTCACCATGTTTTTATGGACATGCCAAGTTGTCGTTACATGTTAAATTGGCATCCATGCTTTACTAGTACATTCATGCTGTTGTTCATAATTTGCTACTACCTTTCAATTTGTTCCGGTCAAACAGCGACTATTAGATATTCGTTGAGTACATGAATTTCTGCACTCTCTAGTCTGGCGCCAGGCTTGTGTAAGCGACCTGAGCTCCCAGTGCGCGCAAACTAGAGTTTCACACTAGAGGATAGCAGATGTACGAGCACGTTGGCGACTGAAAAAGTGACACTCGCGTCCGGTGTGCAACGGCTCGTCGGGTAGGTCTACGAGAGGGATTTATGCAGGCCTCATGCTATAATATCATAACCTGTACATCTATCGGTGACCGTAAGCTGTGAAACAGAAGACGAATGCTCATCAAGTGCGACAAGAATACTGCTCAGATTACAACATGCTCACAGCTACATCCAGTGTTCAGATCCGGGCTGGAGGAGGTCCAGTTGGTGCTGCAAGAACAGCACCGTTCCATGAACCTCGAATTCTACGAAAACACGAAAAGAGAGACTTGAGTACCTTTGTAGGAGTATTGGTTTGTGGATGTAGGTATGTTGGTGAAGTAACAAAGTTAGTACCACTGCAGCTGGTAAGGCCGAGTCAGTTGCGGTCCGTCCCAAGCTTCGTCTGATTCGGCCGCAGATGAACCGAAGTGACGCGCAATAAGCAACACCAAGAAATGTGGAGTCGAGCGCGACGGCGCATCCAAGTCAGACGGTAATCCGTCACCCTAATCCCAACAATCCCATCCATTCCAAACAACTTTCTGTGGCTCGAATCGTTCTGAAAGCTTTGTCTAAACATTGCCTACTTCGGTGTCTGCCCAGCGCTGTTGATCGCAACAGCTCGTGCTTATCAGCTTGTGACTTTCGTTTTGCCATCTTAGCCACGTTCTACTACCTCTCCCGACGTTCGAACCGACTTGCGCTTCGCCATCATGAAGCTCCCTCCGATTGCCACGGCCTGTCTCTCCGCGCTCGTAATAGACTCTTGCAGCAACATCATTGCGCAACGCCTCAAAGCATGGAACGAATCCAAGCCCTTCGTCTTCGACCGTGTCCTCTTCACACAATTCGCCATCATGGTCGTTCTCACTGCGCCGGTAAATTATCATTGGCAAAACTGGCTTGAACGTGCGTTCCCCGGGTGGAAGACGGTGAAACAGACAAGGGCAGTGGGAGATGGTGAGGAGGAAAAGGGCATCATGCTCAAGGAGGATGGAGATGGTCGCAGTATCATCGAAGAGGAGGTCAGGGTGAGGAATTGGTGGAACATCTTCAGAAAATGGTTTACCGATGTAGGTGGTCACAAATGACTCGCCGTAGCGTAGTCGCTACAGGAATGGCTAAGTGCTAACGAGATGCAGTGTATCACCATGGGCGCGTTGCTGAACCAGTCAATGTTCCTTATCTTGATTGGAATCATGAAGGGTAAAACCGTGGCATTGATTGTTCAGGACTTTAGAAATGTAGGTTTATCAACACACGAAATTCACCTCTGAGATAACTAACTGCTTACCAGGAGCTTTTCGGTCTCATCTTCGATTCGTACAAAGTCTGGCCAATTGCCAACTTCTTCAGCACCACGTTCATTCCCGTTGAGCGCCGCATCGTCTTCCTGAGTTTCTGTGGTCTACTGTGGAACATCTACCTATCACTGGTAGCGGCGCGGCTCTAGATATTCTTCAATCCGAATACATCTGCTGCTCTGCAACATGCTACGCCATCCATCTTATGCGCTCACCCGTTGATGGCTACAAATTACACCTGGGCCCTTTCTTCCAAGTCTCCAACACCGCAGCCCAATACTTATCCTCATCCTCCCGTATATGCCCACAATGCGCACTCTTCTCAAACTGCACCTTCGTCACATCCCACCCTTTGGACTTTGCAATGTCCGCATGCTCATCTGCCTCTTCAAACCCCACCATCGTATCCGCACGACTATACAGATACACTCTCGGCACACGATTATCAAATACATTCTCATCATTCAACTCCCGACAGATAACAATCATCTTGTTCTCCTTGCGCCGAATGAAAACGACCAGCCACGTCAACAGAATCAAAACATGTACCAGCGCGCCGCCAAACCACCTCCAGAACAGCGTCTGGGGCAACGACGCGGAAATCGCAGCATGGCTCTTCATCCACGGACCTTTGGTCGGACTGGAGTCGAGAATCTGCGCGCGCATCGGCATCTTTGTGCCGAACCTCTTGTTCCACGCTTTGGCAAATTCATTGACTTGGTTCCCGCCGCCGTTGGAGAAGCTGTGCACGAGAACTTGGCCGCCGTTATTGGCGTGCGCGGCTACAACGTCCATAGCGGGTTTGAGTAGAGGTCCGTAGGCTGAGGAACGGCGGAAAATATCGAGCGTATAGCATCGGACTAGGAGGATGCGGGATGTGGGAAAGAGCTTTTGGTATGTTATTGTGTATTTGGCGATGTGCTTTGCGGCTGCGGCGTTCCAGGCGAAGAGGAGTATGAGCGGGGTTTCTGAGGGTGATTTGGAGTGGTAGGATGGTGAGGTCCAGATGTAGATGTTGTGACCGATCTTTTCGAATTCAGAGAGAGGCTTGAGTGGCTCTGAGGGGGTTGGGGGTGCTGGAGTTGCCATGACTATGGATATGTAGTGTTGGTAGTTTTGGATGGACGAAATGAAAAGTCACGTGTGAATTTTGTGCTGGTCTATTGATGACTTGATGTTCTTTTGCGTATCTAGTATATGGGTAATGTGTTCCTAGCGGGTTGAAGAGGGATGCCTGGAGGCCTTTGTCTTGGTGTCTCGCTATCTTGGCGTGAAGGATCCCAGGCCGAGGTTACGGTACTATACTAGTAGCAACACCATTGGCCCATCTGCCTTGCTGCTCGCATTTCATACTATATGAGTCCTCTCACGTGCCCCAAATCGACCTCCTGAATGTTTGTTACTCAACTCCAGCAACCGCTCACAATGATGGCTTTTTTAGGCAGCAGTGTTATTTCTACCCATGAACCAAGTGAGCCCAGAGCTTACCACCGCACCTGCCTGTGCAGCCCCAGCAGCGAGACCAGCGCCATACCCTCCCATGGCAGCACTCTGTGCCAGAGCGTACACGCCGCCTGCCGGGACGTAACCGAAGTAGCTCATTGTAGATGCGGCAAGCGAACCTGTTGTCTATTAGAATGGAGCATCCGTACGAGTTCGGGCCGACATACCACCGGCAGGCCCTAGAGCAGTCAAACCAAACGCAGCAAAGATGGGTGCAGTGGCGGCAGCAGGCGCGAGAAGAACAACGCCGTTGACTGTATAGAGAGCTGCTTGACCCGGATGTGCTGCTACCCAATCGATGAGAGGCTGCGCTGTAGCCGCAACTGATGCGGCTGTCACGTTCACCATGGCGGACCTAGATATCGGAAATCGTTTCAAGTGGTGGGGGTAAGAGTTGCGTTGATAGCTCCAACCAAGAATGCGGAGAATATGAATTCTTATCAATCAAGATAGTATTCACCACAAGGCTGAGGCTAACGTTTTAGCCCTGGTGAGGGGTGAATGGGTGGCGCTGCATTTGGTTGGCTGCAAACATGACGCCACATTTGTTCAGCCTTGCCAGCGCAGAGACGATTCCAGCATAATCCAGTTCTCTAGCATAATACATGATGTTGTGCTCAGCGACGACCTCTACGCCATGCCGCTACTGATAAGAGGATGGCTCCAGCTCGCACTACAGTATCAACACTATTCACACTCTTGCCACCCATGGCTCCACTTTGAAGCGTGGAGTATATATTCTGCGTGGATGAGGTGTCTTTGTTTCGCATCCATTTTGAGGCTGTTGAATCTGAGCTCTGTTAGTAAGAATTTGTGAAGTCGATACAAGGGTGCTGGACCTTTGCGAGGCCCTCTTTGCTCGAAGCCTAATGCCCAGAAGGTGGGTACAGTGAATATCCTTGGTTCGAGCAAGATGGCCCCATTTACGGCGTGTACTACCGTTTGGTAAGGATGTGCGCGGACTAGGTTAAACAGTATATTGCTTGGTGGCATGGTTGTAGGTCCCTAAGGAAACGATGTGTCAATGAATAGGATTTATTGTCACTGACGAAGACAATGCCCGTTATGACTCGAAATCTTGCAGGCGAGAAGACAAATAAAGAGCAATAAAAGAAGTGAATATTAGAAGTTAAAGGATGGGAGGGTGAGCGGCTAGCTGTGGATCCTGATGCGGCATAGTTACATGGGCGTATGGTCTTCTGACTACCAATTATCTGAGCCAAGGCTTTTCAAGTTGATACGAGGCGGATCCAAGGCGCATAATGCTTCCCAATGTAGCATTTTCTGTACTACCAAAGTCCTTCCAATGTTTGGGGATAAGGCAGAGACATTTCAATCTAGTAGACAATGGCTCAAGATTAGTCTGGCATGAAGACAATTATGGTCACAGAATCATTTGCAACTTTGGCTTAATATATTAATCATACGAACATCTGCTGGAGCAGTTCTACGTAAAGAAAAATGTGACTAACAATATCACTTCATCCTGTATTTTCTTTCGTAACTCCAATATTCTTCATTTCTCTCCATATCCACCACACTCTCCTTTCTTGTATCAAGAAAGCTGTTTCGTCTTTGCTGCCTCCGCATTGTTCTTTTATTTACTTATTCATTCTGTCACCTTCACAGAAGGTTACGAGGTGTAAGATATGTCGGCAACAAGCCTGTCCATGCGATAGAAAGCGGGTGCAAAGATTATGCAAACCCATAAACTGGTTTTGTTTGAGGAAAAAAGAAACAAGTGCTAGATACTAAATCTCTTTTTGATACAGCTTTCGTTTAAGCCGTTATGAAGAAGAGTCGAAACGCCGCATACTTAGCCTAGTCTGCGACATGATAGAGACTACGCCTATAAAGCTTACATTACCAGTAGTGATTAAAAACCGGGCTTGCGTAAGCTTTCAATTGCTCGTGCTCGTATAAAGCCTGATTTTCCAATCAACATGTCGATTTTGATTAGTATCATATGCAGAAAAGTAAAAAGACAAGGTGTGAAGTATTTAAGTATTGGTTACTACAATTATGTAAGAAATGGCCCTTAGAAGATCAAAGGGTCTCGTATAGGGTCCTGCCACAACCGCCGTTTTCTTCTATGCCAGATTCGATTCGTTTGCATCGTTATTGACTGCCGTCTGGATTTTACTGCCGCCGCTGGCGGGACGTCTGGAACTTTGGGAACAGCAGACACTCCATCACCGCCTTTCCTGCTCAACTTGAGCGATAGTAGTATGAATACGCCCGCAATGAGAATGGCAAGCAGCAGCATGATCTTGCGCTTTACACTTCGTCTCTGGTACCCAGAAGCTACTTTGAGCTCCTTATCCGCTTCTTTGACGTCTCTGAACATGTTTTCAACGTTGTAGTCTATTCGGTCCAGCATACTGCCCTGGTCAATGACCATGGTCTGGAGCTCTTGGAAGATATTTGCCAGTTCGATAATGCCTTGGGCAATGTCCTCAATCTCGCGCTCCCGCTGAGCTATCAAAGCTTCGTTTGGGTCGTGGCGCATGCGCTGTTGTTTCGTTTGGAGTAGTGTGGATTGAGAGAAGGAACGGTCGGCATCAGATTCTTGTAGCGCAGGGTCATTGTAGGGATTCTGTACCGGCGTGGCAGAGCGGAAGGGTGAAGTGAAGCCTCCGAGATCGCGGAGTTCTAGGGAAAGACATCAGCATGACAGGTAGCATAGGAGAAAGGAACAGTCTCACTCTTCAGATAGGCGGCCTGTTTCTTGCGAAACATGGCGCTCACTTCGCCGACACGGGAGGCAAGCGAGATTTTGAGGTTTCGGGCCATGACCTCTTCACCCTGGTTGATGCTGCCCTGCTGCTTGGCCTCGCGGACCATGATGTCTATGCGCTTGATGGCCTGCTGGCATTTTTGGAAAAGGCGGGTGATGGCCTGGGTAATTTGCTCAATCTCGCGCTCCTCGCGCTTCTTGACATCCTCATCGTCAAAGCCGGGAAGCACGTGCTTCTGGTGCAGCTGGTCGAGCTTGCGCGTCTGCTTTGCTATTTCTGCCAGGTGCTGAGTGACCTCGTCCTGCATGTCAAGCCAGCGCGGCGGCAGCAGGTCCATCTCTATAACGGCATCGCCGTCGTCCTCGAAGGCTGGAATGAGGCCCTGGCGCTCCTCAGACATGCGCCTGCTGTCGCCAAAGCCATTGGAGCCGGGGACACCATAGCGCGTCTTCTTCTTCTGGGGGTGGTGCGAGTACGACTGGCGGTACGAGATAAAGCTAAGTGGCTACGTCAGCAGCAGCGAGGCAGCGTGGCTTTGGCGACATACAGGTTGGTCCGGTCCCGCCACATGATGGGCTGGCGAGGGTCAACGGGGCTGTGTCATGGTAGGGCTCCAGGTGGGCTATGTATAGCGGGTGTGTAAGTACTTATGTAGTGGGGACGTATGGACGTATGGCGGCCAGGGCAGCTGTGGGCGAGGGTGGACGGGCGTCTGATATGAGGCGCATGCAATCGTGGCCGTGTGTCGGGGCAGTGGTTGTGCAACGGGGCGCCTTGCCCGAAGCGGCAGCGAGTGGCCCCTTCACAACAGCGAGGCGGCACTAGGCCGGCTGGCTGACAGTCCAGCTCCACTTCAGCCCATCTTCTCCAGCCGCAAACACGCCTAGAGACCTCCTTCACACCGCACCTGCGCCCTCTGCTATATATCGCCAGTTGGCTCCCATCCAGGCACCACCCTAATTGAGTTCCTGACCACCACCACCCCATCTTCCCACCTCCACCATCCGCACCCCTCCTAGCAGCCATGGTCTGTAGCCCCGCGCTTCCTCGCTTTCTGCCAAAACATACCCCGCCCTCCTATACACAACTGCGGCCCCCCGCCCACGCCCCCATCGCGCATCGCTGACACGACGCTCTAGGCCGATTCTCTTACTGAGGAGCAAGTCTCCGAGTTTAAGGAGGCATTCTCCCTCTTCGTAAGTCTCTACCCCTCCCCTCGTTGTTGACGCGCGGCTGCCTAGTGCCCCGTCTATGGCTCGGTGGGTATGTTGCTAACATGTGTTTTCTTGTGCAGGACAAGGATGGTGATGGTCAGTACCCTCTGTGCCTAATTCACGCCCGCATGCTCTGCGCCGAAGCCACTGCCCCCCGGATACAAACAAGACACGAGGCTGACCACGTTGCGCCACAGGTCAAATCACCACCAAGGAGCTCGGCACCGTCATGCGCTCGCTCGGCCAGAACCCCAGCGAGTCTGAGCTTCAGGACATGATCAACGAGGTTGATGCCGACAACAATGGCACCATTGACTTCCCAGGTACGTCGGCCTGCCGACTCTGAGCCCGTTACGGCCTCGCTGATGTTATGCCAGAATTCCTCACCATGATGGCCCGCAAGATGAAGGACACCGACTCCGAGGAGGAGATCCGGGAAGCCTTCAAGGTCTTTGACCGCGATAACAACGGCTTCATCTCAGCTGCTGAACTGCGCCACGTCATGACCTCCATTGGCGAGAAGTTGACCGATGACGAGGTTGACGAGATGATCCGGGAGGCTGATCAGGACGGTGACGGCCGTATCGACTGTAGGTGTTCGGGAATTTATGCTTGGTTACTTACCAGACTGACACAAGACAGACAACGAGTTCGTCCAGCTGATGATGCAGAAATAAGCATTTGAAATAGCGGTGTTTGAACGAATACATGCATCATGACAGTGACACGGCCGAGGGTTGACAGCGATGAGCCAAGGGTCAAATTGGGCTTTTTCGTGTCTTTGTACGGTGGATCCAGTTATTAGCAAGGCGAGCTGGTTTGGTTGTGTTGCCAGCATCTCTGAGAGACGGCTCAAATACCTAACCTACTTACTCAATTCATTCTCACGTGCCATTTTTTGTGTTGATTCTGTCTAGAAAAAGAGGGTAGCCTCGCACAGGGCAAGGCTCTTTCTAGTGAAAAAGATGGCTTAGCCACAGTTTGCTGCAGGGCCCTTGATGAGGCGGTGCACAGGTGAGCTTGGACTCTTCTTGGCCATGGTGGGTCAGGTCAGGTCAAGACAAGACAAGACAAGACAAGACAAGACTGAACGGGACTGAACGGGACTGCACGGGGACTAACGGGGAACTCTGACCCTCCAAAGACCAAGAAAAGCCCTGTGCTTTTTTATGGTTCTTCGTATTGACGCTGACTTACTATGGGGCCAACGGTATTGCGATCTTCTCGACGTGTGATTGTGACTCGCAAAAGCTCGCATCACGATGAAGTCTAAGTGATTTGTTGGTTGTTTGCGGTAAAAGATGAACCAAACTGTCCCGAGTGTTTTTTGTTGCACATCAGGGGGGGGGGGGTGGAAACGCAAAGGGAACGCAAGGGGAACGGAATTGGAAAGAAAGAAAAAGGGAAATTCCGGTTGCCTGACACATAAACGTTGATGCTGAATGGAGTAAATAAGTATGGAAATCCCCCTTCCCTCCCCCCCCCCTTTTTCTTCCCGTTCCCGTTCCCGTTCCTGTTCCCCCAAAGACGTAGTTATACGTTTCTGCATGTTGCTTTCTTTTCTACTACTTACACAAGTATGCATGTACTTTGTCCGTGTGTATGTTGCGTGCACGTATAAAGAGAAAAATAATGTAGATCAATCCTACTAGTTTGGGGGGAGGGGTTTTCTTTTCTTTGCGACAAGCAAGTATACCCGGCTTAACTACTTACTTTACTTAATTACATACTTGGCAAGCTTCTTTGGTGGTTTAGGGGAGGATTTACCGTCGTTTCGGCAGTTCTGTCACTTTTTTTTGTCTTGTCTTTCTCTTCTTTCCGAATGTGGAAGAGTAAGAGTGTAAATGGATGTTGGGCTTCCGTTCCGTTTTTTTTGCAGATGAGTTGATAAACACGAGGTGAGGTTGCATCACGACTTGCGTGTATTGTTAGTCTGATTTTTTTTCCCACCGAGAAATCAAGCGATGAGGGCATATGTTAGTTTTGGTTAATCATTTCGGGTATCTGTCTCTTTCTCTCTCTCTCTCTCTTCTTACCCTTTGGAGAAGGATCCCTCGATTAATTACCTCACCCGTATCACGGAAAAAACCCTGGGTTTCAAGATAATCATCTGTGCCATAGCATTGTGGGAACGCATGTTCGAAGTTGTCCGGCATCCCTTGAAAGTATCTCAATCAATAATATAGCAGAAAATCAACAAAGTCTAGATCTAATATTCTCCACTTTCGGTATGACTTTTTTTCTTCCCTTTTTGCAACCACTATATCCCAAAGTACATCTAGTGCTAAAAGACAAAACCACCCCACATATGTAACGAAGCGGAAACACCGGAGAGACAACCCGCACGTATTAGCACCGCATCATTACCCTTTTTTACCTCTTAAATCACGGCACTACTACTTAGTTCCCTTTTGTTTTTCAATACGTACACGACGAGTACCTATGTGCCTCTCTAACCCCCTAACTAACTTAGCCTCGCTACATCTTTCCCTGCGTAAACATACGAACGTAGCCAAGCAATGAGAAAGGCGAGGAAAGAGAGAAAAGGTAATGTCCGTGTTGTGAGCATCACCGACCGAATACCCTTTTAGGATACGATCGTACAATGACTCGTCATGGTATGTAGTGGTTATAGGGCAAGGGTCATCATATATGGGCATGGTGTTGTTGGAGTGCCTCCGTAACCCCCCACACGTAACCCCCAACTCCGACTCCGACTGCACCCCCACTGGTTGGCATCGTCGTCGTGGATGGTGCGGATGAAGCCGGTCTGAGATGACGCGGCGGTTGAGGGCCATAGGATTTCCTTGTTGGCTTTGCTTGATTTTCTCTGGCATTTTACGGATGATGGCATCCGCGTGTGCGCTGTCCCCTGAGGGTATGCACTTAAGTAAGTGTAGAAACGATGCGCATCTTGCACTTGATTGGTATTAAAATGTGAAGATGCGAATTAGCTGATACCGGGGAAGACGGGTAGATCGGGCATTTACGGCGTTACTTTCTCTTCCTCTCTCTCTCTTTCTTTTTTTTCTTTTCTTCCACTATCGCGGGTTTTTCTCTTGCGCGGATGTCGGATGTCAGACGGGGAAGGGCGGGGGAGGAAGGTTAGTGCAACTTCGTGTTACTTTACATATTCGGAGGATTGACAATCTCGATGGCTGTGTTTCTTGTATGCAGTGTGATATCGGGGAATTATGCTTCCTTATTTTGTGGAGAGACTTGTTTGGTGGCGATCAGGGTTTTTGAGTCGTGGCGTTTGACGTTGGGAAGGATGCCGGAGGATCTGTGCCAAGAGGATCTGTAAATCTGATGTTCCTACATAGACTATATTTTTGCATCGAATTTTGTGCCCGTTAATGTGCGTTTTATAACATTACTGCTTGTATTAACGTGTAGCATGGCTTGGTGCTTCCGCTGTCAAGATCCCGATCGTGACCAACGTGGTTCCTAGGATCCCCCGGCTATTCTTGAGAAGCTGGTTCATACTGAGACTGGGAAACTGGTGTCGGCGAGAGGGAGATGGGAGGGATATGTTAAGTGCGCCGAGGACATATACCCGTACAAGGTACATGACAAATGACAGCTGTTGCAAGGATGCGTCTGAGACAAGCCAAAACCCAACAAATGGGATTGTATATTCAGTTTCCTGGACTATATGTCAGCGTCACTGTCCACGCGTTGTAAGTCTATTGTGACTTTTCTTTTCTTGTGTGCGGGGAAGAAGAAACCCTTGCTGGGCTGGGAACTGGTGATTAATGCAACAGGGTCAGGGCAGACAAACTTAGATTTGTGAGAGATTTTCTTTACAGCCGCGGTGAAAAGAAATGTAAAGAATAAAACTAGAATGGCATAGTTTAGCATACACCAAGAGTACAGGGCAACAATAACTTGATACACATGGAGGAAGGTGATACCCGGCTAAAATAGGAGAAATGCTAGACAAAGTCAAAACTTACGTCATCGGTGAGTTTTCGTAGCATTTCCATATTGTAATCGTTATTATTGTCTTTCTTGCTCCCTAGAAAATTTTCTCCCACCAGTATGCGACGAAGTAGAGGTAGCGTGGTATTAGCAGTCGAGTGACTGTCTCACTAGGTACAGCCCTGCAATAGCGCCACATGTGAAGTCAGCCTTATTCCATTAATACATGTTGGTAACGGCTATACAGACGGAGAATAATGCATTGACGAGATGAAAAGGACGCGGTGGCTGAGGGGACCCTGATCCGGGTGTTTCGCATTGCAGGCAAACAGGGGTCTCTCTGGGCTATCCAGTCTAGACCATTACTACCAAGGTTCTCTTTAGTGTAATCTGAAAGCGATGCGATGCCACAGATTGACAGGTCAGATCTACAATCTAATTCAAATGCAAAGGTCGTCTTTGAGGATCGGGACTTATCTTGAACAGCTGACTCAGTTAGCGAGAAGCGTTAGATCTAAGTGAGTGTAATGGCTTGCACTGTCCTCGCATCGTCATACAGTAGATCGACGTTAGCTAAGCTTTGGGCGATGGTCAACCGTACGTAGTCGATAGGTAACGAACGTTAGATGGAGTGCGTGCGCATTAAGTTTGGTCAGCAAGAAAATCGAACGAACAAAGTTTGCTTTCCCTCCACACACGTGGCGGGGATAATCGACTTGTACCATCGATGCCAGCCCTAAGTAATCAACGGGTGCATCGGAGAATTTCTGTGGGAAGCCTGGGAGGCTTGGGATGAGTGGCAACGGAGTTTAGCACGATACAGCTGTCCCCCCCAAAGCTCCCAGGCAAAGTCTAGATTTGGCATCAGCCTTGCACCAATCTCTGAGACCATTATAGACGTTACAGGAACCTGCTCATCGCCAACCAACTTGGGTTTGCGTACAGTAAGCATGGCGAGATTGTTGGGTGGTAGTGTTGGGGCTGACAGTCCGCTTTGGGCTAGTAGTGCCTTGCGGTTGAATAGCAACATGGGTGTAGTGGTAGTACTACTACGACTTTCACACTTGCGTGTGCAGGCTCGAGACTCAAGAATGAGGATGACAAGAGAGTAGAGCCGCTCCCCTGGTGGTTGCTCCAACATGTCCCATCATGTCGGGTTCCAAGTGCCAAACTTTACACTGTCATATTGCATAAGTCTCCCTGCATTACTTGAGCCGTGTGATAGACATCGGACAGCAAGCTGCCTGAGGCTAGTCACAATACTTCAGCTTTGACAAATCCAGCAGCCTTGGACGTGACAAAGCGCTACCGCTGCATACGTGCTGTGTAGTCACGAGTAGTAACTGAGACATGTATGTATGCAGTCACCATCACCACTACCACTGCCGCTTATACTTGGTGACTTTGAGCTATTCCTCAATCGTATATCAATGTTTAACAAACCTACACCAGACGATGTCCGTTTAAGATACTCCTGAGTATCGATGCCGCAGGGCTTGTGTAAAATGTTGACACGACCCCTAGGGGTGGTACCTAGGAAGACGATTGGGCAGGCGAACCGTGGTTGAAAATCGTAAGCGGAGTCGTCTCCGACCATATCTGTTGAACTAAACGTTCCGTCCCGGAACCAGACCATACCCCTCTTTCAGAAATGTCCGGTGGCTGCCTAGACATGCAGGGTCAGCCTAGTAAGTAGCCCAGAAGCATTGCTGCAGGTGCATCGTATTGTGCTATTCCCTCGAAGCTCTGCATTTTGAGAGCAAGGGACACCTAGGTTAGTTACCCCACTCAGATGGAGAATTTGAAGCTGCTGAGGGTCTAATGGGGCGGTTGTTTGGGGAAGTTCCAACTGGCGTGGTAGGTAGTAGCGTTGGTTTTGGAATACGAGTCACATGGGATGTATGCGAGCACCGAAGTGACACCGGTATTGTACAACGGCACATACCCGTGGTGCTGTAGTACTGGTGTACCGATGTTGCGACACCCACGCAAGGCCCCTTTTCAGTCGGAAGTGTGTCGTCTCAGAAGGCTAATATCTCAAGCGATAAGGCGCCATTGCACGATGACATCATATATGTCCAAATTAGGCCAAACGGCCAAGCAGCCACGTGGAAACGCTAGAACCATATAGCGCACCTGACCCTGTTCTTTCAATAGTGATCCCCTTTTGATGTGATAGTAAATGTGTAGCGAGAACGCCAGGCTGCCCAATGATGCGTGCAGTATTGGAGTAAGTGGATTAATGGAAAAAAGGGACGCGACATCAAGGAAGAAGCGGAAACAGTAGCACGAATCTAAGGATAGATGCCCGCCCTGATTCGTAGAAGCTCTTGCAAGCTAAGTTTGACAAGCCGGCTTCCTACTAGTCCTGCGTTGAACGGGAAGAACGGTTGTGCGAGAGAGAAGAAAATAGCAGCAAGTATGCTTGACGATCACGATATCGCCATGGGCGGCACCGGCACCAGCTGGGTGTGTGTAAGTAGTCGAGTTCTAAAAGTGGCCCATGTCCTGGATGGCCTTGAAGAACATGTGCCCTGTGTTGGGCAGAAGTGCTTGAAAGAGTCGAGGAAAGCATCCCGACACTACTGTACTTACACATCGGTTCGGCACAATGATCCGCAGCAAGCGAGGCGTGCCACATTTGCGATTCAGATGTCGTTCTGGACGGTGAGTCGGCTTGTCGTTAAAAAAAACTGTTGCTAGGGTGGACACTGGCGTACAGTACACAGACACGTAGGCATACGGTAGTATAATGTAACATGGACCTTGGCTCGCTTGTGCATGGCCAATGAGTCTTTTTGCGGACGATGAGCGGAGGTTGGCTCTGCATGGCTCTAAGTCTATAGCCTACTTACTGGCGCCAAGTGGATGCCGCTTGGGCAACTAACGCAAAGAGCGAATCGGCACCAGTCCCGGCGAGAAAAAAAAAACAGGGCGAAGAAGGTTCTGTCATTGGGATAGGGTGGAGGAAAAGAAGAAGAATCAGAATGCATGCATTACCTGAAGAGGGTACGGTTTGGAGATATGAACGAAACGAGACTGGCGGCGGGGAGGATACGAGGCAAGTGGGCGGATTCTGTCGTATGCATGACTTTGAACAGAGGATAGCTTGGATCAAGGCGAGCTTGCAGGTTGAGAGTGGACGCCTAAGGATGGTAGTCGGTGATGTGCCCTGCCGTAGATCCGCAGATCAGGTTGTTGCGATAGTGAGGTGGTTGGTGAGAGCAGGTTGGCGTTGGCGATGGCGGCTATGGTGATTCCGTCATCATGTGCACGAATCGAGGAGGGCGCCAGAGGCTGGTGACTGCGCGAGGACCCGCACGGGGCCGGAAGATCTAGGGACCACCACACTACATCGTCATCGAGGAGCGATGAGGCAGGTGTAGAGAGGCGCTGTGGTTGCATGGGCGCAAGCCACCCGAGGAGCAGTTTGGAGCCAGGCGCAGAGATGCTGCGATTGATGGCAGTGATGTCTGTGTAAGTATGCAGTAGTAGCAGTAGCATGTAAGTACACTACATGGCGTGGACGTGGCCAAGGTCGCGTCACCTGACTTTGCCGCTTCGCGTGGGAGGCGTCTGTCTTGTGTGCGGGATAGTTTTATTGTCTCTTAGGGATCGAGTCTGTTCTCAGGGACGGGTGTGCGTGAAGACGGGCGTGTACGGGCGTGGTTTTCTAGAAGCGGAGTTTGTCCGTGGTATGCACGCCCAAGGCAAAAGTTTACCAGGCGAGCCTGACTCGATGGCGAGCCGGCGGGCGAGGAGGGTGCTTCCAATAAGCCCACGAAGGCTTCTAGCGCGCGATCTATAGCGGCAAGCCACAGAAGCAGGCGGGCGAAGCCAGGAGAAGGTGCGACGGCGATGTGCATGTCGCCTGCCTGTCTGTCGTGTGTCGTGTGTCGTGTGTCGTGTGTCGTAGGTCGTAGTCTGTGGGCATGTCTGTGTGTCGGTGGTCAGTCAATACTGTGTCTGACTGTGTGGTCGGCCGTCTGCGCCCGCCAGGCTGGGGCACCAGGCCCTTGGGCGGGGCCGTCTCCTGAATGGGCTCTCTCCTGTCGCCGTCGCGGGCCAGGAGATGGGAGCAGCAGGCCGAGGGGGATTCGCACTGCGAACGGTCGCTGACCCGCCAGCATGGGCATCGCTTGATAGCTTTGGCCACGGACGAGGGCAGCTTAGCGGCTGAATCAGTGGTAATGGAACATAACAAACGAGGGCAGCCAATCCTCCCTATTGCCGACCCTTGCCTGCCCTCGCCCGCTAGCCGGCACGTCGTCGCTCGCCAGGGCCCGGGCGCCGCCGTCGAGCCCCGTGCAGGGATTGGGTGGGTAGATGGATATGCGTCGGGCGGTGGTTGCAAACACACACACACACATATACTACGTGCGCACACACACACACGCACACCACACGTACATACAGCAGGCATGTGGATGCCCACATGGAAACCCCCCCTCCAGGCACAGACAGGCCCGCTGCAGCGCTAGCCCCAGTCGAGCTGCTGCAGACAGCAGCATGCATCCGCTTCGGGGCACCCTCTTGTGCGCTCCATGGCTGCATTGGCCGTCGACTTACTCCATGGGCGTCCGTGTGCCACGGCTCGAATCGCGTGTCGGGTGCAATGGCAATACCCCGGTTCACGCAGCTTGCCGGTACCTGGAGCCTCTAACCTAAAGGTCCACCCAGCCCGCAGCCTCTTCGACCATCCTCCGCCTGCCCTTCTCCATGCTGAAACGTGCGTGAGGCGATCCAGCTGCCAGCCCTGCCCGTCCATGTCCTGCCCGTTTACCCTTTCTTTGCCTGCCCGCACCCCTCCTCCAACCTCCAACCCTCGACCATCTCCTTCTCGACTGCCCCAACCCACCTCCCACTACAACAACAACTACTACTACTACCGCCACCACCACCACCACCACCACCACCATTACCGCCCGCAATTCACCACAGGACCTCCACTCGACGTCGCCTGCTAGGCCCGGCGACATCACCGCCTCCCCGCCTCCCCGACTCCCACCACGGCCTGTCTGGGGGCTCAGGCGCGCCCATGTCGTTTCTAGGGTTCCGTCCCAACTCGCGCAGCGGCCACACGCAAAAGTCTTTCAACTCCCACGGTCATCGCTCCGACGTCAATCTTGCTTCGCAGCCACCCCCTCCCCGCTCTGGCCGAGCTGGCACGGGCGCCATGGACATTGAAAAGAGTCGGACCCGCCGCGAGAGGACCTTCATTGGCAGCGAATGCTGCGTCTGCGAGGAGAATCTCGAGTACACGCTGCGGGGAGAGCGCATCCTGCAGCTGTCCTGCGGCCATGTGTCGCACGAGGCATGCTTCTACGAGTACATTCGCGAGTTCGAGTCGCAGCATTGCCCGACATGCGACGCCGCTCTAGCGCTTGACACCAGCAGAGGTGGAAACGTGCTAGATCTGGGTAGGCCGTCGCCAGAAGCTGTGCCGAGTAGCCATGCTGATGTGGGGACAGAGAAACTCTCAACCATTGTGCGTTCCGTCCAGAGCGACCCGGCCCCGTCTCAGCACTCTGACGGCCACCGGAGCGCTTCAAACACCCCCACCCCGTGGGACAACCAGACCGTCTCGTCCGACAGGCGGCATGACGACGCGTCCCATGGCCGTCCCCGCAATGGCAGCAATGCCTCGGCCTCGTATTCCTCCATCCACCACCACAGCCGCCAGCGGGATAGCAGTCACAGCCGCGACCGTGGCTCAGATCGAGGTGGCTCAATCTCTCGTGCCCATGGCCGCAGCGACTCAGGCGCTACGGGACTTGCTTCATCCAACGACTATGCCCCCACACACGATGGCCGGCGGCATGACTACGATGTGCAGTCCATGGAAACCAGCCTCAGCAGCCCGCGCGCTATGCTCAAGAGCCCCATCCCCGCCCCAACAATCACTGTGCGCAGCGAGTTTCCCACACTGAGCAGATCACGACAGCAGCAGAGCCTTACTTGCCTCGTCACAGTCGAAGTCGTCGAGGGAAAATGGCGCCCAGACCCGGATGACATGCGTAGTGCTCCACCCCTTCCCTCAGTCGCCAGCGTTGCTGAGAGCAGTTACGCTCGCAGCAAGTCGCCTGTAAACAACAGACCGTCCGAGCCCCAATACGAACCGGCAGAGGTTTTGGACGAGATTACAGAGGACCTCCATGCCCGCGTTGACAACTGGCACGGCTTGGACTTTTCGCGCTTTGGCAAGTTGCGACTCCACGGCCACATCCGCGTAGGCAAAGACCGTCAGTCATGGCAGGAACTCGAATGCTATCTCTTCTCTGAGATGCTCATCTGCGTCAAGGAGAAGAAGGTTACCCAGCCGCAGTGGGAGGGTGCATCGCCCATAAAAAAGACAAAATGCACCCTCAAGGGCTCCATCCTGATTAAGAAGCACCTCAATCAGGTCGAACACTCGCCTGACAACCTGATTTTGACACTCAGCCTCTCCGTCGCAGAACTCCCAGCCTTTCACCTGCAGTTCCGGGACCCCGGCCAATTAGAGTTGTGGCGCCGCGCCCTCATGGACATTCGTCTGGACTTTCCCGTCGCCAACCGCATGCCCGAGTATGATCAGGACAACTCTGGAACAGAAGAGGACGACTACCGTCGACCAAAGCGAGTTTCATCCATCAATTCCTCTTACGGCGCAGCCAGGTCGACCATGACGGCGCCTACAGAGTACAGCACTTCGCGCGCGGGCATGCCAGAACCCCGCCTCGGTGCCTCGGTACATGTCCCCGTCGACATTGTCGTCGTCATCCCTGTGTCTTCGTCCATGCAAGGCTTGAAAATCAATTTGCTGCGTGACACCTTGCGTTTCTTGGTAAACAACCTCGGCGAGCGTGATCGCATGGGCCTAGTCACCTTTGGTTCAAGCGGCGGCGGTGTCCCCATTGTCGGCATGACCAGCAAAGTGTGGAGAGACTGGTCAAAGGTGCTTGACTCCATACGCCCAGTTGGACAGAAGAGCCTCCGTGCAGATGTGGTGGATGGAGCCAACGTGGCCATGGATTTGCTTATGCAACGCAAGTCGAGCAATCCCCTTTCGTCTATTCTCCTCATCAGCGACTCGTCTGTCTCGGATACCGAAAGCGTCGACTTTGTTGTGTCGCGCGCCGAGGCTGCCAAGTAAGTCCAAAAGTCCCCATATCACACCGAATACAAGCTTGCAGTACTGACGTGCTTTCTCCAGGGTCTCTATCCACTCGTTTGGCCTGGGACTAACGCACAAGCCTGACACAATGATTGAACTCTCTACACGGACCAAGGCGTCTTACACCTATGTCAAGGACTGGATGATGCTTCGCGAGTGTGCAGCCGGGTGCTTGGGCTCTCTGCAGACGACTTCGCATCAAAATGTGAAGCTGAAACTACGACTACCAGAAGGCTCTCCTGCCAAGTTCGTCAAGATCAGTGGCGCACTGCACATTACCAAACGAGCTACCGGACGAGACGCCGAGGCCTCGTTGGGTGACTTGCGCTTTGGCGACAAGAGGGACATTTTGGTCCAATTGGCCATTGCGCCAGACACAGGTTCCCCAGAGCAGGTTCCCCAGGATCCTTGGGAGACGATTGTATCCGGCCTTGAAGCCCTTGGAGGCCCACTTGACCAGGACGACTCACGCACACTCAGTGTTGAAGAAGTACCATTGATCCAGGCTGATCTCACATATGGTGACATTCTTCGAGAAGGCTCCCTTGCACACCTGCCACGGCCATCACTACTAGCCATTACTTTACTACCTTCCAGCACAAGGAAGAACTCTACCGCGGTTCCCCCGACACCCCCGATTCCGCCTCACCCACATGTCGTGCAGAGACGTATGGAGTTGCTCACGTCAGACATGTTGACACGCGCACTGACGCTTGTCTCACGAGGCCAGCACGAACGAGCTCATCACTTGCTCACGGAAACACGCAGTATTCTCAAAGGACTGGGCAAGGGTGGTCTGCCCCCACTTCCACCTCCTGGCCACAGGCGCAACGACCCATCCAGTGCAAATGGCAGCACAGGATCAGCATCGCCCACGACGCACAGCGCCAGTGGGGATCCTCGGGCACGAACACCTTCACCACATGCCGACAGCCCCTTTACGCCCGCCGCCGGAATTGATGTACGAACCATGCATGCCCTTGACGCAGAACTCGAATCCAGCCTTGAGTGGATCAACCACCCTGCTGTGTTTGGGCGGGATTCGCGCAAGGCGGTACTTCAGGCCATCGGCGTCATTTCATCACAACGAGCCTATACGTTCAGGTCTCCAGCCGAGTCTCTCTGGGCAGAGCGCATTGCTGGCATCAAGCGTCTGTCCGAGCTCTCGCGCGACTGGCGCGAAACCGGAGACCAAGAAGCATTGATGGAGGAGAACTAATGATGTGCAGTCCTCTTTTGGAGCACTATGTATTTGCCTGCATATACCCTGTATCATTCTCTATCCTTTTCGCTCTATTGTTCACGTTTCGTTTATTTTTATTTTCTTCTTCTTTTCCTTGCCGACTCTTCATGGCCACACTATTTTTGTCGGCGATTGTAGGATCTAAGCTGACTTCTGGCGCTACCTTTTGGGAGGCTTTTGTTTCGTTTACATACCTTTTCAGCTTCATGATACCAACACGGTCTGGATCTCCTTGTATTGCGCGGATTTGCTGGGCTTGGCAAAAGTAGGACTTGGGCGTCACCATCAGCATATTATGTTTTAGAGGATACCACATGTGCTTAGCGATTGATTGGCTAGACACAAACACACACTCACACTCACACACCATTATTTAGATGCACACGAATATCACACCCCTGATTGTATAGAACGAATCGCATATTTTACCTTTTCAACTTCAATTAAATGCAATGTCTGGGCGGGATGTGGCACGATAAAATGTTGGCGGCAGCATGTCTTAGTTGGCGGCAGTATGCGTACATGCTAAATGCATAGGTAGCATTCGCCGCGAATCTAGATCTTGGAAGCGGCGACCTCCTGGGAAGGCGCCATACGGCGACAGAAGCACCTGCTCTTATTAGGCAACACGTGCAGACCTCCTGCTCCCTCCCTCCACGGTGACTTCCGCTGTCAGGCAAATTGACATGCACCAAATTCCGGTAAAATTGACCTGTTCGGCGCACTCGGCGGCTTTTACCCCTCACCCTTATGTCGGCCCCGTTATACAACCTATAGTTTCACTCGGATATAGGCTTCACATCCGTACTGTGTCCACGCAGCCCGTACCGTGTTCCTCTTTCCTCCCCGCTGGCGGGCGATCTTACATTACATAACTACACCATTAGACTTTATGCACACCGCTCTATGCAGGCAGCAAAAAAGCATCTGTTTATTTGTTGATCTTGGTCTTGTTCATCTCCTCAGCCACCATTGCCTACGCCGGGAATTCATGGAGAGCGGGGCCTTTGTGCATAGCATATATTCAGATCAGCAATAACCAAGCCAAAGTGGACGCCCACTTGGGGTTTGCAGGCAGGAGGTGTGCGACAGGATAGGGCAAGTAATGGCAATAGACCAAGACCTGCCGTTTGCGGGATTAGTCCACCTCGTCCGTTGTTGGACGGGTCGTGCGGCCAGGGCACACAGCAAATGCAGCGAGTCAACATCGAATATCCGACTCGTAATGCCTGTGTTACGCTCACATATCCGTTCCTGAGACATGGTGTTCAGCCCAAGTGCAAGTTCCGGCTGCACGGACTGTACCTGGCATCTACCGGCTTCCCACATCGCGGCTGGCCGTTGTAAGCCCGTTTGCACGGCCATTGTGACTACTGACGTCAAACACCACTGACCTCCTTTGCCAAGATCCACTCCAACAAGCCCACTCACTCATGTGGGTGCTTGTCCCACCTTCTTTCCTCTCACATTACTGGCTCTATCCTGGCTGCCCACGCGGCGCATGCAGCATGTCCGAGGGAACATCAAAGCCGTCAAGACAAGAAGGATGCCAGGCTGTGAAACTGTTTCATCCCGACCTTTTGACAAGCCCCCCCTCGCCCCGTTGAACTCCACACAAGCGAGTTCCTCAGCCCGCTCAAGTCACCCGTGACCCGCGACAACGGTACCGCGTTGGCTGGCCAAATCTAATTCTTCAAATCCAATACTTCAAGTCTTACATACCGTACTACCCATGCGAAGCCTCGATACGCCATCTTTTCTACAATTACGGAAAATGGTCTCAGCCAGAGATATCATCATTGTGCGGAAGCGGGGATGTATGTATGCACTTATTTAGGGAGCGGCCATATCCCGGGCCAATTCTCTCCAACCCGTTACAGAAGAAGACGCAGATGCGCCTCAAGAGGAGGCCCGACTTCTGCATCCCTGCTTCCTTTTTTTCGAACTATGATGTCCCGCTCTTCAGGGTGGCAATGCAAAGCAAATTCTCGCGGCACATGTTAGAAAATCCAGATGCACAAAAAAAAAGTAAATTGGCACCAAATGAACGGTTCACATATGTTGGTCACACCAGCCAATCAACGCTCATATCTATACGAAAGACCCTCCAGATCAAAACGTCAAACACTTTCCAACTTAGCTTCTCCATTACACGTTTGATCGTCACCAATTGTCTTCCGGTCTTGATTCCTGTAGTCTCGCTAATCTTTCTCCCCCTTGCCCTTGCTAATATCTTTTCGTTTGTCTAGGCCCTTTTGCCAACAAGCCCTTCAGTATCGACAAGTGCACGTGCATTGAGACCCTGGCCACGGCGTCTCCCTTCCATTGCGAGGCGAGGCGAGGCGGACGGGATTTCGGCTATGATCTTCAACCATGGCTGACTTTCGACAGGGGGGTATGAGCGTGTGCATGATAACAAACGGTCTTTTCAAACGGCTATTCCGGTGTAGTTACACGAGTCGACTGTCCCTCCGCCTTTGTCGTCACAGAATGGTCATTACAATATGCACTCAGCGCGATCCCAGAAAACATTGCCTCAACAATTGCCCGCTGCCCGCTGCAGGTTCCGATGATGCAGGGCACAAAGGTGGTGTGCTATGGTGTCAAAATGCAATATCAGCTTTGTGCATTTTTATTTTTCTCTTTCCGCGATGAGCACGACACATGTCGGAATGCATTGTTGTGGAGATGCAGTGGTTACGTTATTTCCTTTTGTTTCCTATTTGCGTCTTAAGTGCTTCGTTACACTAATCATCATCATCATCAGTTGCTATTCTCATTACGGTATATTATTTGCCTTCTCTTCTTCTTTCTTCGCCTAAGGCGCCCGCCGTAGGATTCGTTGACCGCATCGTTGCTTCCGATCGAGATAGCCCTACACGCTAGCCGCGAAACAAGTTCTATTCCGACTGTGCAGCAATCAGGTGCGCCAAAAAGCTAGATCCATACGTTCCTGCAAGCTTTCTCATCCAATCGCCCTGCTTTTGCTTGAGAAAGGGCAAACATATGCACGCCAGGTGCCTTCCACGGGGGCCAGGGGTTCGCATGCATTTATGCATGGGACGAAGCGATTATTAGATTGCTACGCTGATTTTTCCCTTTAGTCTACGAGTCGGAGTGTGGGGAGGGGTAATGATTAAGTAGGTGTATAGACAAACTCGCAGGGAAACGATCATGCTATTGTCTGGTAAGTTTTAAATCCCGGTCCCAGGAACACATGTAATAGCATATCTGGTATTAATATATCTGCACCGCTATCGCTTTTTTCTTCTTCGTATTACATGAATTGGGAAACGATGAATGATATCCAATACCCGGTATCCATGGCCTCGCCGACAAGTCACACAAGCAAAAGAAAACACAACGAATACCCCAAAACAGAAGTATATGCTGAAAAAGCAACACAATGGTGTTCTACAAGTGCACTCGGGAAACCACAAGAGTCGTTCCGCCCCCAAAAGTCTACATGCAAGTACAACTGAAAACGGGCAAGAAAAAAAATCGTCCTAATGTATTGATATCTAACTCTGGCACTCCACCAGTTTTCTTTTCCCATCTCGACTCTCTTTCATCTTTCTTTTTTCTAACAGCACAGACGTAATCCAACCCTCCAAACTGCAAAACCTACGTACGCGCGCGGAGCAACATCGGTCCACGACTGCCTCCCGTCCGCCATGGCGGGCCGCTCAAACCCCACATAAGTAGTCATACTATCCGTATTCAAGCGTCCCTCCCCCCCTTCACAGCCACTTGCTTTGTACACTCGCTTGCAAAATTGGCTTCCGGTTCTTTCTAGCGCATAGCTTTGAACATTGTAGGTATTAACGCCGTGCCAAGTCAGCATTTTGCCAGAGTCAGCCTAGCGTAAGTGCAATCCGCACTTGCAAACCGGGCATTGCGAAAGCCCCCTAATAATACAGCCACACCACTGTCTGCTCATGAAGTCCACAGGAGGCCACCGGCTGCAGTGCCGGTCACAAGGCTGAGGCTGAGCAACAGCAACTGTTGACACCTCTATTCCTGCTGTCCGACAACAATCAATCCTCTTCCCACATGCATCGACTGCCAAAAGGCTCCTTTCCCCTGTGTACCCGTCCTTGAATGTCACGTAAATTATGCCGCGAAGATTACACCGTGGGATGGGTGTGTGCCCTACCGGTCGAGCTGGCCGCGGCGCTAGAGATGCTCGATGAAGAACACGCTGCCCTTGACCGAGATCCTCACGATGAGAACATATACTACCTTGGCTCGGTGGCTGGACATAACGTCGTGATTGTGTGTCTGCCAACCGGACGCATTGGGAACAATCCTGCGGCGGCTGTGGCCACGCAAATGAAAGCTGCCTTCAACTGCATCCGTTTTGGCCTTATGGTAGGCATTGGCGGAGGCGTGCCGAGCGCAGAAGCAGACATCCGCCTAGGGGACGTGGTAGTGAGCAAACCAGACAAAACCTTTGGCGGTGTTGTGCAGTACGACTCCGGCAAGGCTACTCTAAGCGGGTTCGAGAGGACAGGGTCGCTCAACTCACCACCGCAAATCCTGCTTGCTGCACTGGCCAGCGTGCAAGCGAACGGGTTCCGGGGACGAAGCAAAGCTGCTGAGTACATCGCTAAGCTCAACCGCGTGCCCAAGTTTCGGCGCGACAAGGCCGGGGCTGATATTTTCTTCGAGCCGACTTACGATCACGAAGGCGGACCTACGTGCAACAAGTGCAAGGCAGAAAGACAAGAGGCGAGGGAGCCGCGCGACAGCGACGGGGAGGTGGTAATACACTACGGGACGATCGCATCAGGCAACCAAGTGATAAAAAATGCTGCAAAGAGAGACGAGATTAGCGCGGACCTCGGCGGGGTTCTTTGCTTCGAGATGGAGGCGGCTGGGCTGATGAACAGCTTCCCGTGCCTGGTGGTCCGCGGCATCTGCGACTACGCCGACTCGCACAAGAACAAGCGGTGGCAGCCGTATGCTGCAGGAGCCGCAGCAGCGTACGCAAAGGAGGTGCTATCTGTGATACCACCTAGCATAGTTGAGGCTGAAAAGAAGATTGGGGAAGTCTTGTATGGTTAGTCTTGCAAGTTTTATAGTCGAGTTGATTAACACATGCTGATGGCCTCCTTCACAACAGACCTTCATATGGTTGCGGAAGACCATAGAAACATCGCAAAAGACGGGCTGGTCATCTCCCAGCAGTCGCTTCACATCCAGCAGCAAGCACACGAGCAGACGCTATCCGATCGGCAGGCAAAGTGTCTTCAGCTGTTTCGACTCACTAAAAACACGGAGGATGCTACCTACAAGTGGTACAAAGAACGCATAGCCGACAGGGTAGAGGGCACATGCATGTGGTTCCTCAACCATCCTCACTTCCAAGAGTGGAAGAGAAAGGAGTCAGGGCCGCTGCTTGTGTCAGCAGATCCTGGGTGCGGCAAGTCAGTGCTAGCCAAGTACCTAGTTGACCATGTCTTGGCAGAGTCATCGACGGTATGCTGCTACTTCTTCTTCAAAGACCAAGTCCAGAACACAGTACGCGAGGCGCTCTGCGCTCTGCTGCACCAGCTGTTCTCGCAAAAGCCAAGTCTTCTTGTGCATGCTGTGAAACAATACGACAAGGACGGCGAAGGTCTAGTGAACTCGACAAGCTCGCTCTGGGCTGTCTTGGGAAACGCGGTGCAGGATGCTAGTACTGGATCTATCACTGTCGTCCTGGACGCTTTGGATGAGTGCGCTGAGTCTGAAATAAAAGATCTTATGCGATCTGTAGAGACTCAAGTTCAGAATGGCGAATTAAGCAACGCAAAGCTGAAGCTTTTTATGACCAGCCGGCCTTATGAGCATGTCGTGTCCGAACTCCATAATCTATCTGAGGCCTTTCCACGCATTCGCATACCTGGAGAAGATGAGTCAGAGACTATCAGCCAAGAAGTGAACTGTGTTGTTCGATATCGGGTGGATCAGTTCGCGAAAGAGAAAGGGCTTGCTGACGAGATGAAGGCGTGCCTAGAAGAACAGTTGCTGAAGATGGAGCACCGTACCTACTTGTGGGTTTACCTTGTGTTTGACTACCTAGAGGGCTGCTGCTTTAAAAGAACACCTAAGGGAATGGCATCCGAGTTTAGTAAACTGCCAGAAAACGTTGACCAAGCTTATGAACGGATTCTGAATAAGTCCAAAGATCGCTCGGTGGTTCCAAAGGCCCTAGCCATCATCTTAGCAGCAACCCGACCTCTTACGCTATCAGAGATGAGTATTGCCATGGAAGTGGATGAGAGCACGAAGTCGATTGAGGACCTTGATCTTGAGCAAGAAGATGATTTCAAATCCCGTCTTAGATCATGGTGTGGGTTATTCGTGTCTGTCCACCATAGCAGGATCTACTTTCTGCACCAGACGGCACGCGAGTTTCTACTTGCGGAGCTATCATTCTCTAGACCCATTGAAAAAGGCCTGCAATGGCGTGGCTCTACTACGATGAAGGATGCGCATACTTCTCTTGCGGAGTGCTGTGTACGATTCCTTAGCTTCTTTGACCATGGCGGCAGCGTCACCACGGATCAGATACAGATTGTCAATAAGGGTGCGTTTTTGGAGTACTCTGCAAAGTCTTGGGGTCTGCATCTACGAAAGTCCACGATTTGCGATGATGCAGGGGCAGCTATAGCACCACTTACCTTGAAGCTGTCTGACCCAGATGCCGAAGTCTATTCAGTATGGTCGCAAATGTACTGGAAAGTTAATTATCCAAAGGATCCAGGGTTCCGTACGAGGCTTATGGTTGCGTGTTTTTTCGGCCATGTTGCGGTTGCGAAGCGGTCGCTCGAGGAGGGCGCCGACGTTAACGCCCAGGGTGGATTCTACGGGAACGCTCTCTATGCGGCTTCATCTCGAGGCCACGAGCAGGTGGTGAGGCTGCTGGTTGAGAAGGGCGCTGATGTCAACGCCCAGGGTGGATTCTACGGGAACGCTCTCCAGGCGGCTTCATCTACAGGCCACGAGCAGGTGGCGAGGTTGCTAGTCGAGAAAGGCGCCGATGTCAACGCCCAGGGTGGAAACTATAGGAACGCTCTCTATGCGGCTTCATCTCGAGGCCACGAGCAGGTGGTGAGGCTGCTGGTCGAGAAGGGCGCTGATGTCAACGCCCAGGGTGGATTCTACGGGAACGCTCTCCAGGCGGCTTCAGAACAAGGCCACGAGCAGGTGGCGAGGTTGCTAGTTAAGAAGGGCGCTGATGTCAACGCCCAGGGTGGATTCTATGGGAACGCTCTCCAGGCGGCTTCATCTACAGGCCACGAGCAGGTGGCGAGGTTGCTAGTCGAGAAGGGCGCTGATATCAACGCCCAGGGTGGATTCTACGGGAACGCTCTCTATGCGGCTTCATCTACAGGCCACGAGCAGGTGGCGAGGTTGCTAGTCGAGAAAGGCGCTGATATCAACGCCCAGGGTGGATTCTATGGGAACGCTCTCTATGCGGCTTCATTTCGAGGCCGTAAGCAGGTGGTAAAGCTACTAGTCGAGAAGGGCGCTGATGTCAACGCCCAGGGTGGAAACTATGGGAATGCTCTCTATGCGGCTTCGTTTGAAGGTCATGAGCAGGTAGTAAGGCTGCTGGTCGAGAAGGGCGCCGATGTCAACGCCCAGGGTGGATTCTATGGGAACGCTCTCCAGGCGGCTTCAGAACAAGGCCACGAGCAGGTGGTGAGGCTACTAGTCGAGAAGGGCGCCGATGGTAAAGAACATGCTGGCTATTCAACAGAAAACAGTAGAAAGCGAATACGATTAACGTAGGTTACTGAGGTCAAGTCTAACAAAAGAGACAGAGTTAGTTATTTCTTTTACATAGATGAACCTCAACTGCTACCAATCACGTATATTTAAAGACTATATTATATAGTAAAAG